TGGATGGTTTCCAGGTGGCCAATTTTGGATGCAGCTTCAGAAGCAGCATTTGCAAATAATGATGCTCATTTACATAACATACCCTCGAAGTGTATCTCAAAATTTGGAAGACTCTCTTAGCCACAAGATGGATCGTAAGTATCTTAAACTGGTAAGTGGTGCATGAGGAGGGAAGTGGGGGTAAGAGAATATACACCTAGGAGACCTACTGACAAGTATAAATATACTCCAGTTAACAGGTTAAATCTGGAAATGACACATTTAATACACTTCTGTCACCACCTTAGTAAACTGTTGTTCTGCAAGTAGGTTACTGTCATACAGTGTCAGTCAGACTAGCTTTGAACATGCTGTGAATTTACTAGTACTATTACCACTTTATTAGCATGCACTAAACACATGCCACGGTTCCTTTCTGTCAAAGTTCATTAAAACAGAAATGCACTGGCAGCTGTCATTTCCTAATAAGGCACATATTTTTAAAATGCTATGTTCTATATACACTGTGAATGTGATACATTGTATGCATTTTTATAACGTTTAGTGTAAGAAGAATAATTCCCAACACTTTGTTGTATGCTAGAAAGTACTGGCAAATTTATACAAATGTATATTACCCAACTGTACAGTCAGAGATAGATTCTACTTTTTACTCAGTGCTTACTGTCTTACTTGAAAAAAACACAAATCAGAAAGAATATTTTTGGATTTGTTTTTAATCGTGCTGACTAAAAGCAGAAGGATACAATACCTCCTAAGTATGCAAAACATAGCTTTCCTATTTCAGAATCCTTTAGTGTCTTACTTAATATATTACGTATTAATAATACGTAATATATTACATCATATATATCCACATTTGCAAAATTTGTCTTCAAATTGGACTCCTGATCAAACTGCTGTATAACAAGAGCAGAGGAATGCACTGAGATTGTACAGTGCAACCTGATGGAAGATCAGCCATCACACCTGTGTTGCAACAAGGCTCTAATCTACTCAGAGAACTCCAACTCTGTCACAGTATTCTCTGAAATCAACAGAAACTTTCTTTTACATGTGTGTTTTTCTGATTTAAACAAAAATAAATATTTTCTATTATTGATACTCAGAAAGTATCAGAGCAACAGCAGGCATCTCTATACAATTATACCTTTGGAACAAGGGGTCAGTGAGGTTTTGCCAGGTGGTGCAGATAGCAAAAATGTCTCTCAACTGACTAACCTCCTGCCTCTGACCCCGCTCTTCCCTCTTTCTAAGGTAGGAAAATATTTGAAATAGAGACACTGAAAAGTGTTTCCAAAAGCTACTGCAGCTGTAGATTCCCAGAAACAACAAATTAGCACTGTTACAGGAAACAAGGGAAGCAGGTGAAAAGGGCTGCTGAATGTTTTGATGTTGTAGCTCAGTTCATATGTGCAAAGCTGAACCCTACAAAAAATGAGATGTATTGAAGTCTGCCTCAACTGCGCTATAAGCACTGTTATGCTGGTAGTATAAATAGGAGTAGCAGCACATGCTGTGGTTTAGCTAAAGCATTCCACACATCTGTACTTAACTCCAAGCCAACTTCCTTTTCAGGTGACTATTAAATCATTTTAATTATGAAATAGTTACATGGTACTTACAGTAGTAAAAATGTGAACTTACTACCAGGCAGGTTAACTACGGTGTTTTAAGTCTAAGGACCTAAACCCTCCCGTTATTGTGTACTTGACACAGAGTTGCCTGAACAACTACAAAATCCTGAGCTAGGAAAATCATTTCAGTGCCAAACCGGGACATTCTCGGGTATTTATTTACTGCTTTCATGACCATCATATCCAGACAGTGATCTGCCAATGTGCTTGTTACCAATACTCATCAAAACTGGGCTAGCACATGGCTACATCAGCTGAGGCTATTGCTATACGGCCAAACAAAAGGCTCACAGCAGTGGCTGTAGGAGGGGCTGGCCCCATACTTCCCCTACCCTCAAACTCCTCTGACAGTTTATGATACCTATTTTATCGGGCAGCTAGACAACTGCTAGGTACTTCACAAACTCTGTTCAACATAGTAATGAAACCCTCAGAAAGATGAACTGATATTTTAGAACCAAATTAACTTTTACACGAACGTCCATTACTCCAGTGAAAATAATTCACACATGGAAATAGCTAAACTCATTGTGCTCTGACAGTTAATTCTATTGCTCAGCTTTATTTTAAGCTGGTCAGATTTCCTCTATCTGATGTAGCTCCCTTTTGTTCTTCCTTATACAACAAAGATGACAGAAAGAAATGGGTACTCCCACTTTACATTTACATAGCATCTCTTATCCAAATACCTTATCTCACTAATAAAATATCAGGCCACCACCAAAGAAAAATCTTTCTCACCACAGCATTCAAAAAATCAAACAAGCTACAGATATAATTCTACAGTGCCTTTAAAATTATAGAACACAGGTGTATGTTTAAACATGAAAAATCTTTTGGGAAAGAAAGAAACAAGATCACATCTGTACAGTCCTCTTTGTTAAACACCATCCCTCCCTCTGCTGGTAAAGGAGTCTCCATTTCCATGAACGAGCTGTGTAGATCTCTCCCAAACCTAACTGATCCCCAGGTCCTCATGAAAGGCAGAGGCCTTCTGTAAAGCAGTGCAGCCCCAGTGTCTCACGTTGGTCTTCGTTTATGTACACATGCATACAACTAGATACATGCACCCAAACACATGTATTCAAATACATGTACTCAAACCTTCTGCTCTCTCCTTCTTCAGAGGCAGAAGCCCTGACTGAGGAAACGAAGCAAGCAGTCTGTTCAATGGCCTTTCTTTCAAAGGAAGCTTTAATGAGTCCTGAAACACTTTCAGAGCAGCCTTGGTTTTGAGCCTTGGAGCCTTGACTCTCTAGGGCGGGAAGATTAACTCCTCGGGCTCCTGGGTGCCACATGCAGTGGGGCGCGCTTGGCACAAAGGCAAGAGCCTGACACCGTATGTTGCAGGGATCAGTACATCTCACATGAGGCAGCCAAACTCCTCCCTGAATCATATTCTCCTTCACCCTGAGGAGTCTTTCTTACTGGCTCTTATTAAAATACAGCTTTTACTCTGCATTGCTTTTACTGATGGCTTTGATCTAGACATGGATAACAACCGCACAACATCCATATTCACCTAGGCTACTGTGAGAGTCTGTGTAAAACCAGCTAATAATTTACATGGAAATTGTATCTACCAGAGGGAGCCCGTATGGCCAATATAATAGAATAATATTGACATAGTCAAGAAAAGTTAATTAAACCTTTTAAATGAGGGCTACACAGTCCAGGCAAGATAAAACTCTTAGTTCCAGAGGAGTATGATTTTATAAAATTCAGAGGTAACAAATTATATAATTGAATATGTTTTTAGGATTTTCCCTTCCAAACTGAGTTGTTGAAATGTTCCACTGTACATAACATGTCTGAGAATGATGGAAGACAATAAAGACAAAAGATCAAAATGCTTTCTAGCTTTACTATCACCATCAGGAGAGCTTTGAAGCATGCTGTTCAACTACTGAAAGAGGGAAAAAAACCCACAATCTGATCCAGACCCTTCCTTGTGATACTCAAGGATTTGGAATGAAACAAATAGCTCTCTTTACACAAACTACTCAAGACCAATAAGATAACTTTTGAACTGGTTCTGATCAGTGATTGGACACAAAAACAAATAACGTTCAACACAATTCTAAAAATGCAAGATTCCTTGGTTTTCAGTAATCTCTGAAGACAGCTGTCAGTAACTTCACTGACACCAACAGAAAAATTTAAATAAAACTCAGAATTTAAAGGAGCAGAATTAAAAACTAAATAGCAGCATTACATTTATCATTTCTGCAAGCTGCACCAATTCCAATGCTTTGTGTCTTAGGCCCTTTGTCCTGCAAAGTTACATGTATTTACCTATGCACATAGAAGCTGTCTCAGGAGTCCAGATAAAGATTATGTCTAAAAGTGTGAAAGGCAAACTGTAAATTCTGAGAATTGTCTCATTCTATAGTTGGACAGTGCTTCACAAAACTAATATTCAATTTTTAGGGAGACTTCAGAGAGGTGCCTACCTACAATTAAGAAAAAACTATTTCTCAGCATCCTAAATTCCAGCCTTTTTCTGAATACAAATTAAAAAATTAAAAGATGGGTAGTTTCTGAACATGCAACCCCCCTGAAAATGAAGTGGTTCCACTATTCACTATACTGTCTTTAATCAAGACCAGGGCCATTTATACTTTTAAATTAATTGCAAGAAAACATTATATTTCAGGAGTACAAAAGAAATCTCATTCTACTGAGTTAAGTAGTTTGAGGTGAATTTCTAGTTTATATGTTCAAACTATGTCCAGTTTTCTTTAAGAAGCAAAACAAGATGACTAAAGCTGGGCTTTCTCTGAACTCAATGTCTCTTCTTTCCTCCTGTCAACTATCACAGAATGTCACACACTCACTTATACAACTTCACTTGTTCACATTATCTGATTGGTTTTGATGCAAATATTTGTGTAAGTAAAATTACTCACATTCCTAAGTATTTGAAGATTACATTTTAAATTTGCTGTTCCCAAAACTGTCCATTGCATTTACTTGAACTGTAAGGAACTTTTTTTCAACACTAAGTTACTTTCCCTCTTTTCTCTATCAAAAAAAAACTGCCACAAGAACCCATACACAGTCCTAGAGAAAATGAAGAACAACAACAAAAATCCAGCTAGGGTGAATATACAGTTCTGTCACAGAAAGAGCCTGCAATAACAGTGTTTGCTCAGCACATATCTGATGAAGTAGTTAGAACTCAGAAGCCATTTAGCTTAACAATTTCCAGAAAAGAGCTCAAGGTTCAGATGAGATACCACACAGAGTAGGACGTCTGTAGTTGCCAACAGTATGCAATAACACCTGTGTGTTGGACTCATTAAAGATTTAACCAGAGAAGTCACGTGCACACTGAAAAATGGCTGGAAACTGCCACGCTTAATGTACGTCTCAAAAACTTTGAAAAAAGGAAGCAAAATGGAGTTACCTTTGGAAGAGGAGGATGGCACTTTCACCAACATTTCTTTGGCAGATGATTCAGGTAAGAAACTACAGTAATCTATTGATGCAATACAATTCCACAGGGTGAATAATAGTACTGGGTGGGCTCACAAATCTGTATATCCTAATTACCAGGTAGAATGTATTTTTAGCAAATGACCTCAGGTAAACTTTTCTAGTTGTGTAGTTGAATAAGCCTTGTGATTAGTTAAGAATTAAAATTTTAGGGGAATGGAGGCTACCACAGTTTTCACGTAATAGCATATGGTAATATACATTTGTCATCTGAGCACATATAGCCTTTCACTGTTTAGAAAAAAAAAGTCATAGAAATGTTAACTCACTAGTTACTACTATCTAAGAAAATATAGGTATTGCTGGCCTTCCTCCTGAATATGGAATGATAACCTCTTTGACATTCTCTAGTGAGAGCTCACAAGAAGTGATGCAAATTAATTGGTAATGGAAATAAGCTGATTCATTTAAATCCTCACTATTAAGCATTTAATTGGCTTAAAAGAAACTACAAAAACAAAGACTGGCTTCCCCTTTTCCTCCCCTCCGCCTCCCCTTCCCTTCTATCTTATGGAATAATAATTATTTGGAATGGGAAGTAGGATAGTTCTACATATTGGAAAAATGAAGTGAGTTAATATGAATTGATAATAAATTATTTAGAAAGGTGTGGCCAGAGTATCAACTTGATCATGTCAGCACGGCTGCCATAGAGCTGTGCTAATTTACACTAGCTAGGAATCTGGATTGCTTATTAATGAATAATACAAGTCCTATGTCTCTCCCTCCCACTTTGTTTATTTTAGAGTAAAGAATGTTATTGTACATACTATCTTTACCTCATATATATATATATAAAAAAAAAAAAACATGGAGTTGATCTTATTTTTATAACATAATTTTCTAGCAATTTTATATTAGTATGATGGTGCTGAACTGGAAGTTTGAATGCATTTCACTTATACAGCATATAGCCTAATGACATCAAAATGTGGTTGACCTGAACTATTCACACAAAGATAAATTGGCAGACCTTGGTCCTAGTTGTGCAGTACTGAAGGGTTCTCCTGACTGAGAATCTCACTCTTTCCCTGTATCAAGGTGTAGAGCAGCAAGGAAGAGGTGTCCTGTGACACTGTTCCATGACTTGCCATACAGCTGATAACATGGCAAGAACAGATGAGAGGCAGCATACAGTGGCAAGATTGTCCAGTCTTTGCAAAGCCTCCAGAAGGAGCTGAGTTAGGGATGACTCCATAAAACTGGATGGGTTTGAATCTGCCCTCTCTCACAGATGGGTGTTTTTGCCATATTGCTTGCTTAGTCTTTCAGAAGATGTTGTTTTCTTTAGAAAGCAAACACCCACTAGCCTCCCCTACTACTCTAACCTCAGCACCCCTGCAGCTTGGAAAAAAATCATACACGTTAGAAAACAGAGGCATAAAGTTAAAAACTGTCTCATTCAAGCAAGAGCTGACACTGGATGCCCGAGTCAACCCAGGCATTCAGAGCTCGATACTCATCAGCGCCAAGCCCCGACAGATGTCACTGCTTTAAAAGTAGCTGCTCAGCAACAGCGCAAACAAGACTCTACTGCACCTCAGAAACCGAGAACCTCAAATTTACTAGACTCTTGAATACAGTAACACACCCAAGGTCATAAAACAACACAAAGAGGACCATAAACACTGCTTCTTTATGCACGATCTGCTACCAATATCAGAGTTTTTCCCCTAGTAGTGAAGAGGTGGGGACAGTCACTCAAAAGTAGAGAGATAAATTCAGAGTAACTGAAAGTGAGTGACATTTTCAGGCAAACTTTTATCTTGAAGGCAAAGAGGGAGAATATAGTAAAATTCATGGTGAACACAGTAACCCTGGTCCATTTCTCCTGACAGATGGCAACACCCTGAGGGCAAGAGAGAAAGGTATAAGAAAACCCCTAACCTACAATAAGAAGAGACTATCATATACTTTGTAGGAAACAGTCTTCCTCATCATTCCCAGGTGAAGTTAAGACTAATTACAGTAACTCTGGAGCATAGAAACTAACAAACAGAATGGTTCTCCTAGCTGTAACTGTAAGGCTGGAGAAGAACAGAAATTCCAGAAGAGCGGGGAAGATAAAGGAAAACTTTCACACGGTGAGAGAGAAAAAGATTCCTTAGGATGGACAACAGCAAGTTCAGTGAAGGAATAAGGAAACTAAACCTGCAATATGAAGATCATAAGTGGACTTTGCCTGAGGATGACCTGATGTTTCAGAAGCAAGTGTTCCATAATTAAATTTTAAGTAGGGTCACAAAGATGCACTGGTTTTAATGAACCCTAGTACATTTGTAATTGCATAAAGCTTTTTCCCCATTTCTTAAAATGTACTGAAAAAAGATACTAAGCAGACAAGTAGAACAACATGTTATGTAGCTACAATGTGAAGCATAATCAGAAGACAGTCTTCATATCAAAGTTTCTTTAGTACAGCGAAAAGCCGTTGTGGCAAAGCATCAGGGGTTACTGAGCCTGATTAACTGAGTGCGATGCATGAATATTTAATTGCTACTGCTCTTTCAAAACAGCAGCATTTCTCTATTAAGCACACTGGTATTAAAAATAAATAATTTCCATGTAAATCAAGATGAACACAAAATGGTAGCAAGATAGAAACTTCTCGATAAGTATTTTAATAGCAACATCAAAAGCATGTGGAATCAATGAAACATTCATTAACAGCATTTGTGAAAATATTTTCACCTTTGATGAAAGAAATACCTTTTAATTTAGAAACTCATAGTGCTTGATAAAGTTCCCTCAAAAAATTACCCATTCAAACAATAACTCAGAGGATATTAAACCAAAAATAAAACAAACCAGTGAGGTGGTGCCCAACAGCTGCAAAAACTTCTGTATTGTTCTTCTGATCAATGCTCTATAAGTAAATCAAGGCTCTCTTTCCTTATTGTAAAGAACCTATAAATTCTCTTTTTTTTTTTTTTTTTTTTTTTTTTCAAAAACACTTTCTAGAAAGCCAACATTAAGGACTACATTTTTCACATAAACCCCTCCTTTTAAAAAGCAGATACAAACCTCTAAATGTTTAGGTCTAACTTACAGAAAGGCAAAACAGTTTTTCATCCCATTAAGTTACCAGTAAAGCTGTATGAAACCTCAGTAACAAGTCCTTCCACAAAATTTGGATCTACAGCTGATGATTACAAGGAGGATCAAACTGTTAAAAGGACAACATTATGTCAGATATGTTGGTATTCACAACCTAAAGCTGCAAAGGGTTCAGTTGCTCAGTCTGTTAAAGAAATGCATTTTTGTGGAGTCAGAGTACAAATGAGAACATTCACACTCACGCACAATTTTGCAAAATATAGGATGCAGTTATGTTAGAAGGTAGGCTTCTTCAGGGTTAGAGAAGATATGACTTTCCAGGGCATTCTTTTTGTAGACTTTCTAAAGAGACTGGATTGTTTTTCCCAACTGTATGCTCACAGGTTATGTCATTTGATGAGGTTCCATTCTCATCAGGACCTAAGGCACTACCAAAACACATACAATAAGGACACAGACAATACTTAGACCAATGTAAGCCAAAGTAACTAGTCCTTTTGTATAATTTGATTTGGTTGAAAAAAGTGGAAACTGAGAACTACTCAAATTTTGCATTTGACAGAAGTCTGTAACTGTAAATTTGCATGAGGATGAGCATGAGGCTACAAAAGCCTTTTGAGGTTGCTCAGAAGGAGTTACAAGAATTGCAAAGAATCCTGGTGTAAAGCACCATTACTTAACAAAAAAACCATCTTTCTCAGTCTGTCATTTCCACAGAGAGACAAAATGATGAAGATTTGATGTAAAGGGTCTTGTGAGTTAGTATTGCAAGGAACAAGAATTAAGCCATTTGTATTCCTTTTTGTCTTTTTCTTTGTGCCAATAATTAGTTAAAGGAGAAAACAGCACAGTTCAAGTAGCAAACTCATCTCAGAAATATGTACAATACCTCCTTCTGTTAATGTAAAGGAGAATACATTTCTATTCTAGCAGTGAACAGCGAAGCCTCTGTCACCAGGCAGCTTACGCTGGCGCCTCTGGTGCCTGTAACGGTGCCAGAAAGGAAGTAAAAGGCTTGTTGGTTTGCACTGTGTACTGTCGAAAAAACAGGGTGTACACCAGCATTTTAGAAATAAAACGTCTGAAAATGTTTGTCATTAACAGCAATGGCTTGGAATCAGAGTCCAGAGCAATAACATTCTCTCCTGTAGTTTTGTAACTGTACACATGTATGCATTCAGGTAAACTATTAGTGATGCTTTATAACCTAGGGAGATTGTTACTATTTTAAGCAAAAATGTTTTTTCAGTGAAACTGAATAAATTAATTCCTTTTGCCAGCAAGGTCAGCTAGTTTTAGGAAAGCTTAATTGAAATTTCAGATACAAGTAATATACAAGTACAGGTGATACAAGTATAGGATACAAGTACAGATGATTGCATTTGTAAAGTGAAACTTGTTATTCCTATAAACTTAATATAGATGACAGTATCATGAGTGCCTCCACTGCTTTAACCAAATGCCTTAGAAAATATAAAATGAATTAGTAAGAAAGGGAATAGCACCTGCTCTTGGTTACATCCAAGTCACATTTGACCTCAGGAGCTCTGACACATTGTTAAAAATGACGATCTCTCTTTATAACTCTTCAGTCAGAAAATCCACTTACCTGAAACAAGATATCTAGTGCGTAATGTAAGGACAGTTTAAGAAACCAAACAGTGGAATATTATTTAGGGCAGTGTTCAAGTGTTTTCAGTAATAAAGAGAATCATCTTATTTGCTCTTTTAAACTGCAGAGTGGCTATTAGTATACTGTTATGCTGCTCCACAGAAGAAAACAAATAACTTCCAGCATTTATGAATATTATGTAATTTTCTTGATAAGGTATATCTTCTCTAAAGTAAAGAGCAGTAAGTTTGTAAACAAAACTTAAAAAAAACCTCTGTGAACACAGGTTGTACCCAGTCTTTAGGCCTTGAGCTGCATATTCCAAAGACTCAAAGGAAACAGCCACACAGTGAGGCTGACCCATTTGCTCACACTTATATATCAGTATTTACCCCATTAATTTTGCCCCTCCTGGTGAGTGGGGAAACTGTAGACAAGCAAACACTGCCAGATCCCTGTCAAACAGAAGCCAGTCTTTTGAAGGATTGTTTCAGGTTCTCTTGGGAACAGTTCCCAGAGGAGACTTGCCATGCTAACAAAGAAATGACACTTTCTAACACAAGAGTAAACAAAATACTACAGGCTTATAAAAGCAAGAATTGTTAAACAAGGGTTTGAGTTGGTCACCTTCAGCCAAAGGGGACACCAAGCACACCCCTAAAATGCAAGGTAGTATGGGGTTACTCTACACACATGCATAGGTATGCCTTGCCTGGGGAACATTCTGTGTTATAAAAGGAATCTTGTTTGGGATCTTCTCTAAATCCCTAAAGCTTCAAAGCACAGAACAAATTTAATTGATGATTTATTACCCAGTACAAGACAGGTGAGGTAAGGATTTTGAAAAACAAATCAGCAAGTCATGTGATATGCTAAACTTCTGTTGTTTTGGTTGATTTCTCATAAAAATGCTTTGGGCTGTGAGCTTTTTTTTTTTTTTTTTTTTTTTTTTGCAGTGCGTTGGCTTTGTTTTTTTCATTTAAATCTGGTAATGCATCAGATATTTAGAATCCTGGGGATGACTTCTTTGCACAGGAAAACAGAGGAAGGGTTAGAAGGCAAACCTTTTTAAGGGAAAGCAAGATGAACTAGGTGTTCTCTCTGTGGAATTTGTACCCAGCAGCATCAATTCAACAGTCTTGGTCCCCGCACTGGGCAGAGCAGGGCTGCACACAGCAGTGTTGCTCCCTGCTGGCTCAGCACTTAGGTATAGTTCCCTTCGAAATCAAGGGATGAAGGACAGGGAGAGAAAAATAGTAACACGCGTGGATCTTGCCATGATAACTAGTTGGGACATAGCCAGGTCACCCAGAAACAGCTTCTAAATGCTGGTGCCTGGGAGTACGGGTCAGCTGCACAGTCTCAGATAGTGGGGTAAAGGGTTTCATATTAAACACAGCAGGAAGATGCAGTGTGTGAGATCCAGTACGGCTGAGTACACTGCGGTACAAACCTAAGGAAGCATCTGTGCAACTGTTTAACCTACTAACACACAGCGCTATGTAGACTAAAGACGCCATCTGTTCTCTGCTGACAGCCCCTCTGCAGTGCTAGCAGTGGAGGTTCAGATAAAGACAATGTTCTCTAAAGGAAAACCAAAAAACCTCTCACACGGGTTAAACTCTAAAAAGAGTTTCAGCCTGGTGCTCAAGCTCAAACATCAGAGTGAAGAATCAAAAGAAAATACCACAGTCAGAAACCACAACCATGCAAAGTAGAATGAACTCTCAACAGTATATGTACCAAAAAGGAAACAGTAGGTAAACCAGCAGCTCTTGGGATTACTACTCTGTTTTGGCTACAACAGTGTAAGAGCCAATGTCTGGCTTCCATTCTGCCCCACAATTTAATCTCACAGATTTTCCCACTTTGTTCATTTTGGGATGGTTGAGACATAGCCTGCAAATGTAGTGCAGTGAGCGAAGTGGAATTTCTGCAGCAGAGAAGTGCATTTCCCCAAGATTAGCCTGCAGTATTTTTTTTCCTCGCTCTTACAGTATAAAATAAAACAGCAAGTTCTTCACCAGGGTAAGAAAGCTCTCCATCTACCTGTATCCACCTCGCAGAGACTCTGACCATGTTTTCCCTCCATCAGTCAATTGCTGGAGACTGTCTTGCTAGAAAGAACTAGGAGAACCTGTTGGAGTACATCAAGCAAGATTGTAACAGGGTGAGAAGCACCTGTCATTTATAAACAGCAATCAAGGACAGTTACTAACAAGCTCCTAAAGCCCAGCCACCACCTGAGAGCACTCCTTGCAGGCATTAGGGGGGGATGACTGGGTTAAAAATTCCTTTTGTAGAGAAAATTATATATTTTTAAGTAAACCAACTAGGGGAACTGAAAACAACAGATTCATTTTCCAGTACAAACTGCAGGACTCTAATTAAAATAGGTTTTCATGACTCGAACAGCATTCAGTCTAATCTGAATTTATCTGATTTTGAGATTAAAAAATTATTAACACAATGTTAATAATATTGTGGAGGCACCCAGAAGATGTAGATACTAGAAATACATACTTCCTGAAGTGTATTTTTAAAAAAATGCAGCAGAGGGCACACTTCCAAAATGCCTTATCTCCCTGAGTATCTACGCAGCATGAAATTATTTATTTTTAACTGGATTTGTTCCTGTAAGATACGATTTGGATATACTTCACTGCAACATACGCTGCATAGTACCTATAAAGATACTACAGGTTCTGCAGTGCAGTCACTTCATGAAGGCACTAAAATTAGGTCGGGTCCTGCATGTTGCCTTTAGGGTGGCTCATGGCCTGTCCCCTGAGGTGTGGATGGAGCACGTTTTGCTAGGGTTATTCGCTCCCGGGAGCCAACATAGAAGCAGGAGTGGTGGTTTGGAGCCATCCAGCCTGGCTAGACAAGAGCAACTCTGCAAAGGCGCTCCAGTTTCTGCGTGGCGCCCTCGTGAATGCTTAAGAGTGAAAGGAGACCAGTGTTCTGAAGGGTTGGCCACAGTGGCTAGGGCGGGGATGGCATTTCAGGATAACCAAGACCAAGATAGGGAAGAGGTTCCTTTGCTTTGTAGCTGTGGAGATGTTGGATGGCCTCAGTGGTTGCTCATCATGGAGAGCAGAATAGCGGGTTTCCTGAAGCAAAAATCCCAGGTTTCAGAGCCCGGGCGCTGCTGCGTGGTAGGGCTATCGATCGGCCGGGCTGGGAGCAATGTGGCCCGGGTTTACAGGGCACTGAGCCCTACTGGCCTGTGGCTGGGGAGGGGTCTCCTCTGAGGGAGCCCCACGTACCAGCACCTGAGGGAGAACTGCGACCGCACCCCCCCACAGACACACGCCGGAGAACACCCACGAACACATCAATCAGAAAAAACGTTATTACTCATTTAACGGCGTGTTTTCTGGTTACTTTATCTCCGATTCAAGGCGAAAGGACCGCGTCCCGCTTAACGAAGCTCGCGAGGGGCCACAACGCCCTCCGCCGCGCCGCGAGAGGGCTCCCGCTCCCCTCAGCCCGGCGGAGTGACGACGGGGAGGGGGGCGGGGCGGAGCGCTTCGGCCCCGCCCCCCTCCCCGGCAGCCCGCCGCGCCCATTGGCTAGCGCTGGCGCAGCCGCGGGCGCGTGCGCGGCGGGGAGCGCGCAGCGGCGGCCGGGCCGGGGCGCGGGGCGCACCCGCGGGGAGGCGGCGGCAGGTGAGGGGGGGCGGGGTGCTGTGGGCCGCACGGGGAGGGGATGGGAGGGAAGGGAAGGGAAGGGAAGGGAAGTGGGGGGACGGACACACAGACACGGTAACGCGGAAACCCGCCGCAGTGCTGCCGCACCCCACCTCCGGTCCTTTTGGTCGGAGGCGCCGGCGCCTTGGCGCTGCCGTTAACGGTTCCGTCCCACAGGGATGCTGGGGGGGGGGGGGGGACGCGGTGCGTGGGGAAGGATGCGCTGTGAGGTGCAAGGGAGCCGAGACACGCAAGTGCCCGCGCCACGGGTGTCCGCGATAACGGCGAAAGCGGGAGGGGGGGGGAAGGAGAAGGAAGGGGCCCTTGGGCTTCTGCGTTTAATAGCCAATTCCAGAAAGATCGGCGCGGAGAAGGCGGCAGTTGCATCATTGAAACACAGGGTTATTTTATGCATTAGAGAATAATCTAGATAGGTTGTTTCTGTAAACCGAAGCATAAGTACTCAAAGAATCATATCTGCATCCCCCCATAAGGCTCTAGGGAAAATAATTAAAATGTTAAAAAAATGTTGTTCTGCCTTAGGCTTAAGCGCTGGCTTTTCAACATCAATTATGTTTGCATTTTTGATGCATTTTTCTAAATGCAGTTACATTAACGGTTGCCTCCGTTCTTTTTATTTTTTTTTTCTTTAAGCAGACCATCTCTCAGGAATATTCTCTTCAAAAGTGGAAAGAGCCCATTCTACAATGATGAATGCAGACATGGATGGTATCAGTTTTTATGTTCTTGTTCTGCATTGTTGTTTTATCTACTTAACAGAATTTCCAGCTGTAACAGAGGTTACATTAAAACTCGTGTGATTTATTGCAGCTGTTGAGGCTGAGAATCAGGTGGAATTAGAAGAGAAAACACGGCTTATTAATCAAGTTTTGGAACTGCAGCACACACTTGAAGGTTAGCAGTTTGACACATCAGATTTTTTACCAGCACCCAGTAATAAGCAAAAGAAGAGAACGTCACTGTTCTGCCCTACCTTGGACCAAGTGTCCAGAAGTATGTCACTTATACAGTTGAAGGTACATAAACAAGGTCTGAGAACTACTTTTCTTTTTCCTCCTTATGCAACATAATGTTCACTCGACTCTTATAATACACATCAAGCAGAAGGGGCGGTGCGGTTAACTTGCCCTGGCTCGTTAGGTGGCATACATCTTTGAGTCTGCTTATTGCTGAACTTTTATTTCCAAATAGTTTGCAATAGCCTAATTCAAAAATGCAAGAGAAGCATAAAGATACAGGCTAACAGTAAGTTTGGGTAACAGGCTCGTGAAAATACTGTACTACAAAATAATACAGGAAAAATGGGCTTTAGATAAGAATTGTGGATAGCACAGTATTTTAGTAGGTAACAACTTTGGCAGTGTTCCTGCAGTAAGTGTGAATAGTTTGATGTAGGCACATAGAGCATATTCATTACTGCATGCAATAGTGTCTAATACTTTTCTTATAATATCACCTTTGCAGATCTCTCAGCACGAGTAGATGCTGTTAAGGAAGAAAACTTGAAACTGAAATCAGAAAACCAAGTTCTTGGACAGTATATAGAAAATCTGATGTCAGCATCTAGTGTTTTCCAAACAACTGACACAAAAAGCAAAAGGAAGTAAGGGTTGACTCACAGATAATGTCATTGTATTGCTGCTGTCTTTTTTTTTTTTGTTGTTTTAACTGGCATAGGCTACTTGAGCTAAAATACCTTAGTTTGTGGCTTTACTGGATACCTGAAGATTATAAACTTTGTTGATAAACAGAATTAAGAACATTATCATGAACAGGAGACATAAGTTTGTGTATCGTTAAGATTAAGCAATGTGCAAATGTAGTGTAGAGACTTAACTTTTGTTTTTGTTTTAAAAATGAGCATATCTTGTTAAAAATTGGATTCAGTTTGACAGGTTAAACAAAAGTCTGTTTGCACTCTTTGAGGTCTTAGGGTAGTGTTCTTGACTAGCAAAACAATACAGTTATAATTGTGTTGAAACCTTATTTGATAAAAGTAGTTAAAGTCTAATTGCATCACATTTTTCATCTCAAGTATAATTAGATTACTGCATTGTACTGTCCATAGCTCTGCAAAGCAACTTTAAACAAAAAACTATAAACCAGTTAAGAATTTCTGTGAAGTCGTAACAGTATGACATTATTTGCAGGGCTTGTGTACTGAAAAACACTTCCGATTTTTTTAGGAAGGGGTAGGGTAAGGAAAGGAAAAAGGATAAAAGCAGTTTACATCAGGGAAATGCTGAACATGCAGTATCCGTGTTTGTAAGATGTACACTTCAAACCATTTTCACTTTCCTGTGTCCTCAGAGAATGATCAGGCACAGCATCATGATGTAGGATCTTCCTGAAGTTTTTCAGTTGTGATGAAGAGTTAAATAAAAACCTGAGTAATAAGCTTTACAGAAACAGAAGGTCAGCGCTGTTCCTCATGCTCATTGTGAACAATCTGCAGTGAGGAACTGAGAACAAGTCTTTACTTGCCACCTTTACTTTTCTCCTGAAGTGCCAAACTTGTCTTTGCTTCAGGCCTTAGAGCAGTTGTTTTCCTGCCCCAGAGCCTGAGCTTGTGAAGCACCTCCCGAGGCACTGCACAAAAACATCTAAAACGAAAGATTGCAGTGGAACAAAGGTCGCTTTTGCCTCTCAAGTCTCGGCTGCTCTGAGCAATGCCTAGTGTCAAGGTGCCCTGTTTTTTACTGGCTTGGCTGTTCAGTAGCAGGTTTTGTAAAGAAGCTCAGCCCAGATTATGGGCCTGAGCACTTCCCCTAGCAGCAGTACATCTAGCATAATCAGTGTAAGGGAGAGCAGAACAATGCAAATTATAGCAGTACTCAGTTGCATCTGTTTCATCTTGCCATACAGCAGCATTGCAGACTTAATTACGGATGTTACCTAGAAAGTGAGGTCTGTCTCTTCAGTCATGGAACCATTGTACTTGACCTTTTAACAAAAGGAAACCACCAGTTCAAGGATCTCTTTGAGCCTTGCTGTGATGAATTCTATAAAATAAAGCTGCAGGAATTGAATGAGTGGAAGTAATAATAGAAAAAATCCCCCTCAAACCCCAAGTCTCTTGGCAGCTAAGCACTGCTGTCTCTCAAGTGTAAGCTGACATTGTGAGGTTCCCCCCTCCCAAAGGGGACGTCTCCCATTTCTCCCCATTTAAGATGACTGTACAGCACTCACTAGAGTGTCAGCAAAGTAAAATGATTGCACACAGAGCACTAACAGTTTGGTCTTGGGGGCTGTTTACAAGCCTGAGTCAAGAAACCTGATGATGTAAAAAGTTTTACCCACCAAGGCACAAATGGCCGATACCATTTGTGTCATGGGGTCCTGTAAACATCCAAAATTATTTTTAATCTTCTATGGACTACACTTTCACTCTACTGCCTATCCGGAACTCTAATTGCTAGTAGGTAGAGTAGATCACATGGTTAGTCCAGGGTTTAAGCATTAAAAAAAGAACAATCACACCAAGCACTTGACTTCTCAACATGGCACCGCATTACAGCCATCCTCGCTTTAAAGCCATGTTGCTGCACATCACCATCTGCACTGCAGGAGGTCAAGTGGTAACACAGCATGTGCTTGTTAGACTTCAGCAATTTCCCTGAGATCAAGTAATCTTAAAATCATAGTTTTGTATTGTAAGATTGGATAGTGTTATTTTATCCATCAGTGTATATATAGCAGTCATTTCATCTCTGTACCATTTTACATCCCACTACTGTGGCCTTCATTTAACTTAAGAACATTTTAAAGATGTTGTATTTCTGACTTTACACTAATAAAAACTTTTGATTTGTCTCGATTAGTTTGGTTTAACATTTGTAAACCCTAAAACTTCTTGTAACTAGCTGTAGTCAAAGGTGGAAAAGTAGCAAGGTTTGCCATCATCTTAATTATTTCCACATAGCTGTAGTGTCTGAAAGACTAGATATAATTAGCAAGTATTAAGATTAAACCTAGGTTAATGAGTCTGTTTTCAGCAAGCTTTCAGTTCCTGACTCACTTGATATTTTCACCGCTGAATCTTACATTTCTCTATGCTTTTCTGTTCTGGTTAAAGGAAAAAGGAAAAGGATTGGTAGACTGTATCCAGTGTTGTCAAAGCTAGAACTCGCACCTCTCCACGTGAAAGAACTTTAAGCCAAGTTAGAAGAGATTTTACCTTTCCCTACACTGGTAATGAGCTCTACATTAGACAGAAACCAGAATTATTACTTCATCATACCTTCATGAAGGTGGAAGCTAAGTGAGGAGTAGCTTCAGTCGTAATTGAATAAAAAGGCCTCAGTCCTACTTAGCCTTCCCTGATATAGAAAATTCTCAGTCTGGGATATGGTGTCTTCAGTAAGACCACTTTTACTAAGCTACAGTGTACCCAGTGGGAGTGCAGGCTGTGGACATCTGATACTCAAGGAGTTCTAAAGACAACTGACAGTTTTCACAGCAAGGCGTCCTGGAACGGGATTACTGTTCAAAGCACTTTCAAGCAGCCATGATAGTGAGATCAAGTATTTTTCATGAAATACCTGCTCAAATATAAGTGGGCTACACGCAGGAACTGCAGGTGAAAGCTCAGAAGTGTCAATGGAAGGGGGGTTTGCCTTTTGCTTGGCTTTCTAGATCTAGAGCCTCAAATCCCCAAAGCTCTGATATTTTCCCCCTAATTACTAGCATAAGCCTAGATCCAAGTAAGCTGATGTGCAGAAGGATGTCTTCTATCTCCAGGTTCCAGGTAATGAAAGTCATTAAGTTAGTATTCAAGTGAGACAGGCCTTACAGAGTCAGTATTATTGCCAACAGCACCCTTGAGTCATGGCCTCACAAGACCATTTTACCTGTAATAAATGGCTCCTTATTTACCGAAGTGAGGTATAAGCAAAGATGCTGACGGGACGCTTATCAGGACTTCATGGGAACCTTAAGTTCAAAACCCTAAGGGAAGAGCAGCATCCGCTGTGGGGTGACCAATCCCCAGAATAATTCTATCACACCAAACAAAAATCACCCCCAGAACAAACACCAAGGAACCTCAAAACCGCACCCAAATGCTGTAACAATTCCAAAAGCCTTTTACCAGGCTCAGACAAGATGCATTCAAGAGGAGTGCTGAAATACTCCCTGACAGCTCACAGTAGCTGTCACTAGCAGGATACCACATTGGTGAAAGCTTCTACCTATCGCTGAGAAGCCACAGGCAGGAGGAGGAATCTGGAGTCTTCACTTCTTAGTAGACCCTAACTAAAAAGGAGGGAACTTGCATTTAACCTAAAAAAAAAACCCTCCCAAAAACTCAAAAGCCAAACAAAAGACCACAGGCCTTTCCATGCAGTTCACACAAAACAGACTCTAATATAATGAACTTCTGAGCTTCAGCACAAGCACATGAAAACACTGGCTTCTTCATTACAGCATTCAGTTGTTAGGGACTTCCATGGAATCTTTGCTGACCCAATCTGCTGTGAAAATATTTCTTTAAGTGAACTAACTTCTTGACAGGCACAAGGGAATCCACTGGGTTCCTTGTGAATTAACGTATGTCTACTTGGTTTTTGAGGTATGACTGCTTTTGCTAGCATTTTACATCTTGCTAATATTACTGGCAGCTGCCAAGCAGCAAGAGATTTCTGGTGACTGCAATTTTATTGTTTGTTTTAATATACAGCTGAACTTTAACAAACAAAGTTTCTTATACAATATACAGTTTATTTAAACTATATTATGAGAATGCCTAGTTACTCACATCTGTATAAAAAATCCATCAAAAATTATATATATTAATAAATTTCATGTTAAGCACAAATTATTAAATATTTTTAGGAGGCAATGTACACTTAACAAGTATTCTATAAACAGGTTATACCACTCTGGCTTGAAACACGAGAACTATAAAAGTTTGAAAAAATCATCTGTGTATCACTTCTGCTGTGTATCACTTCTGCAAATTTGATACCTGCATTCAAAAGTAAAACAAGTCACACCAGCTACTACTTGTTCTATGAGTATTCTATTTTAAAATGTCTCTTAAAAATAAATTAGTGTAACAAATGTCTAAAGTGAACAGGTGACCACCCATGTAACAACATCAACTAAATAAGTAATTTACAATAAAAATTGTTGCTAGCACTAAATCATCATAGAAAAACAATTATTGCATTTAGCTCTGCACAGAAAAAATACCTTTTCTCATAGCAATGTGAACTGATATAGATGCTACATCTATACTATCATCCTCTCAGCTGAAAAGTATAAACAGCTAATTTTGTGCCAGAGCTGCAAAAGTATTGCAATATATTCATGTTTTTAAAAAATATTTAGAGTAAGTTTATCTCCAACTAATACTAATTTCTAGGACTCTTCAAATCTTAAGAATCTTCACCTTAAAATCAGTTGGCCGACCTGTAATTTCACTTTTATTCTGAATTCGAAACGTCTGCTAACTCCTCACAGACAGTATTTCTCCTTAGAAAAGGGAGTCGAGAAAGTTTGGGAAGGTTAAGAGGTTAGAGAATTAAAATAGGAGGTTAAGTAGCAGCAAGTTCCCCTTTTTCCTTCAAACCTTGGGAACTTGCATGCCATCGGGCCCACTGAAGTGGCATGTAAAAATTTACTATTATCTAGACCTACAAATACTAGCTACAAGTAACTCAGTCCTTTCGTACTCTCCTTCTGCGCACTGATTTCAGTGGACCATGTCCAGAACCTGTGCTTTCAGCAGCTTCTTTCATCTGAAAAAAAAAAAAAAGAAAGAAATTCAGCATTAAAATTTTAAACCAATTTTAGTTTAATTATTGAAACTGGCGTGTTACTTTATTCTTCCTCCAAACCCCCCTATCATATTATCACTAAATGCAACACTTAAGTGATAGGACTTTTTTTTCCACAATATCAATCTAACAATAAAAGTGGGTAGAAGACTTCCTTCCTGTATTCAGAAGGAAAAGAATAGTACATTTAAACTGATGTCAGAAATTTGGGTTTGCCCATCTGATCTGGTTTAAAAGCAGTGACTTTTTGATGAATTTAGCAACTTCCTCAAAGCGCATCTTATGCCAATTTTAAATTTCCACTTCGTAAGCAAGAAGGACTTAAAACATTCTAACTGCTGCCTTTGGAGAGCTACAAATAGAACAAACTATTCTTAAATCAGATGTGGTGTTCTCAGTTTAAAAGCGACCAGCTTACGGAGGCGCATGAAAAGCCTTTCCAACACGAACTCCATTCTCATACAATGCACTGCTTCCTTACTTTCATGCATCACCTAATTCAGAAGGAACAGCTCACAGAATGTGGCACAACTGGAGCGAGGACATGGTATACATGGCATCTCCCAAGTAGGTCACTAGCTAGCTTGTAACAGAAACTTGTACACCCTGAAAATAGCCAGAGAAGAGCAAGCCATAACCTCACTATGACACTGTGCAATGGCATACACGCAATCAGATCTTTTTATTACTTTAAGTCACATGCAGCTTGATGGGGTTCATCAGATACTGTATTCCTAGGTCAATGTACAAGGCAAAAACCCCAGCTTCTTACAGGAACAAAAAGAAATACTGAATAGGGGGTAATTAACGAAGAATTTCAGTGCTGAAACAATGCAACCTCATACAAGGTAGAGTTTCCTAGAGGAGTTCCATATGAAAATAAGTTAACATTACATTAAACTCTCCTCATTTGGGAAAGGATGCATTTAGGGAGTGACAAGCCGAAGACAACCAACAGAAATACTGTGGGTGGATCTAAAGCATTTCAGACATACCAGAGTTTCTAAATGAAAGGATAATGAGTAGTTGACGAGCAAGAAAAGCACACGCAAATTCCATTCTACAATGTTATTTTTTGAAAAACATTTTATAGGTTATGTGGTGACTGGATTAATCTGCACAAGGAAAATGAAACTGCACGTGCTGAATTCAAAACCAGTATAGTAATTCTGCTTAAAACCTTATTTTAGAATTAAAAAAAAAAAGATAACTGAAAGCTTGAAGTTTTTCTAGGTCTCACTGAAAGGCTATTCAGTTAGAAGCACACATTCCATCAATTAAGTAGCACAATAAAAAGAGACTGACATCTACTGCAGCATCCAAATTTTCAAGACTTGCAATTCATTTAATAACCTGTTAAAAACTACACTCCTGTGAAAGCCTTTCATGTTTAAAGACCTGTAACAATCACTTCTATACTTTTTACATGTATTTTACAATAAATATCATCTCCTAGTCAACATTACACAGGAAGAGACATGTTTCACAAACCTATACAGAGCATTTGAGGTGTCAAATAAAAACACATTATTTGTTTTATGGCTTAACAGAAGAAAAACTCTTGCAGGTAACTGGGTTTAGGTAAAAGTGTGATGTTGGACAAGGGTAAGGAGAAAATAGGGGAAAAAACAATCTTACCTCATCTTCTGAACCAGCTTTATTTGATTTAACACCTTCTTGATTTCCAACTGCAACTTCATTTGTTGTTGCTTCATCATCATCATCACCACCACCTTCACCCTCGTCTTCTGCAGAAGAAATTAATTTCACTTTCTAAACAGAACTATATTAAAAATGCACTATATTCAAACACACCAGTAAGGAAAATAAGCCAAATTCAGTCTCAGAATGAACTGCTTGTTTACAATAACCCATAAAAACATCTCTGTGATACAGAGAATAGAATTCTCACGAGTTTATAGAAATTGATCAGTCAGATTTAATAACCAACTTTAACAACTTCAGCCTAGCCTCTTCTCACGATAACACATACTCTCTTCAGACTTGTGAGTGACTAAAGTGACAACCTTAAGTTGTTTTCCTTTAGGGAATTCCTTGAATCCAAGTATTGTACTAGACAGTTTTGAGACCAGAGTCCAAAACTGGACAACTCGGGCATCTCAAATCTGACTAAAGTCTGATTTAGATAGTGAAGTACAATACTGCCATGAGGGATGTCTACATCATAAGGGAACTCCCCTTTTCAACAGGGAATTCTTTTGGCACACTGTTTTAGTCAAGGAAAAAGCAGCTTTGGGCTTATCCCCTTCTTATGCATTACTGCAATGCAGAAACTAGTCAGGAAAGTATTGCACTCCCCTCAGCTCTCTTGAAGTATGTCCAGCTTGCACTAGTAGGATAAAACTATTTATAAAAAGCAGTAAGCTTTCTATGATACCTGGTGTCAGTTACACCTTTGAACTGACAGGGTCTGGAGAAGAAAAAAAACAAAAGGAAAAAGCAAAAAAACAAACCAATCAACCAACCCAAAATCCCCCCCCAAAAAACAAACAAACCCCCCCACATACTGTTTTACTCTCCAGATGTTCCTGGACAAACTACAGGCTAAGCAACACAGGAGTTTCTACTTTCTTACCAAGGCCATGTCACTGCACTAAAGAGAAGGGCACACACCAAATATTGTGAATTCTGGGCTGCTCTCTGGTCAGCACATAGGTTGCCCTTCTAGAGTAACCAACTCACTATATATTCTGCATACTTTGTGAAGGTCAGGCACCCAACTGTTTTGATTTCCACTTTAGGCTTCAGTACTTATAAGCTGTCACTCCCATGCCTGCAATTTAGGTATCTAAGCTCATTATAAGAACTAAACCTCAGCAACCACAGCATGATTCAAAGAAAAATTACTGGAGTTTGGGAAGTCTCTTCTTTTACTTCAAACTGAGGTCTTGAAGTAGGAATTTCTAAAAATTGAGTACCCTCTGCAATACTTTCTATAGAGATTAAACACAAAATCATATCTAAATCTGATAGAAAAGATATAAGATGGCATATAAGATGGCATTCTACATCTTAACAGTCTGCCAGTGGCTCAGTTAAAAACAGTAATGAAGCAGTGCTCAATTCTATCCTTGTCAGGCCATGCCTACATCTCATAAGCACTCACCAACACCCACCCCTACCCCTCAATTCTGATTCAGCTCAGTAAAACTGAAATAAAAGTAACCATATAAATTCAGATGGTAGTCACAAGATGTGACTCTCACGATTCTTAATTAAAATCTAGGAAACCCGAATTTATTAAAATACTTGAGACTTCTGTAGGATAACCAAAAAACTTAGTCTATAGTATGGCTACAAAATGGCTACAAATTGAGCGAAACTGGTCATCACAATTTGTGAAACACTAAAATTAGTTTTCTGATCTGTAAATATACCTGATACATGTCTACAATAATGTCTCTATTATTGTTATCTAAAGGAGAAATATGACCAAAAAATTAAGATCATGGTTTAAGATAGATGTAAACAAAGACTTCTGTTCTAAAAATAAGCCCTTAACAGAAGGGCTTAGTAAAAACTCAGAGCCTTTGCTCACATTCTAATGAAGAGATTAGCAATTTTCAATTACGCAAATCCAGAACCTCCCATAAGTACTAAGTTCAAGAGACAGGAAAAAAACAAAACAAACCAAAACACTTCAGACATCAGAAGTAGTAAAAGTCAGAACTGGACAACTACAGTATTTAAAATTATTAATTTTAATTTAGTCTAATATTAATTTAATGGTATTTCATATAAGTGAATGTTTAAGTTGACAAGTAAGGTTCAGACTGTGCCTCTGAAATGCCACTTTTTAGTGTCAAGAACACATCCTTTAGCAATGCCACAAAGATTAACATAGAACAAGATAAAACAGTAAATTTCACGGACAGTGCCCTTCAAGAAGCACTCTGCCAGCAACTAATTCTCACCAGAGCCAAAGAAATCTACAAGTGTTTCTGAAATTTGCTATTGTGCCATGCTTCTTCTTTTCTTTTTTTTTTTTTTTTTTTGGGTCTTTTTTTAATGGCCCCTTGATAAAATGTGAATTTCAAATCCTTCAGTATTTCATAGCTCAGACATCATTACTTTCAACTCCAGAAAACAAAAAAGCAGATGATGACTATAAAGTAATTGTAAAAATTATTAGGATCCAAAGCGACTAACAGAAAATATTCATGACTATAGATACCATACTGAGAAAACTCAGAGGAAACTCACATCTGTATCTGACGAAAAGCTGGCATCCACCAGCTTGAAGTTCTACCATCAACAAGGAAACAGAGGGGAAAAAAATACAGAAAGCAGAGACCATTTTCAAGTCCCAGCCCAAGTTACTTTTCTTTCCCCAGTACCTGAAGGAGAAGTCTCCCTTCCCATCTTCTTTGTGTCCTTTATAAGCTCTCTGTTTGTCTCCTCCATTTCTTTTCTCTCTGTAGCAAAAAGAATCAGCAGGAAGAGGCAGAAGACAAATTCTCTAAGGCTTTCAGATACAAAGAGGCAAAAGAGTGATAGAAAAAAGGGGAAGATTTCAACTTGCAAATGTAAAAATTGGCTGGAATCTAAGAGATGCTAAACAGTTCTTCTTCAACAAAGAGAAACTAGGAAGTCATATGATAAAGTAATCCTTCCCTCTGAAGCCTAGAATTTACTTGAAAACCTCGGAGTAATCATACAAAAGCTAACTACGTTAGTTTTGCTCTGTGTTCAGTTGAGTAACCAAAACAAAGGGTCTAAAATGGAACCTACTTCTCTGATATCATGAACGGCTTTTCCAAGTGGAATTCTTCAAAAAAGCTGTGGGAGCTGAGCAGTGTTCCAACACTGCCTGGACCTTGTTTCTAACATTCAAACACATACTTTAACATATTAAGTGATGTGTTGTAGTTAAGTAAATTAAACTGCCTGGCTTAACAGAAGACTAGTGGAATTCAGGTATCTCCGATAACCTTGCAACAGTAGCACATTAGGTTCAAAAGGTACCTATGCTCTGCATCAACACTGGGTAAACCAGATTCTGTATTTCAGAAGCAAAGAGCAGGTAGAAGTAGAGTAAGACCAAAAAGAAAATGTAGGAAGATACAGTGCTGAAATACTATGCCTACAACTTATGCTAATGGAAAAAAATACATGTAGCATAACTATAATAATTAAATGCCTAGGTAAGGCTCCTGAGCAGTCCAGCAGATGAAGTTTGGTGTGGCAAGGATTGTGCCGACAAGGTACTCAATTCTTTAAGTGTTGTCATGGAAACACCTGATGCTAAGTAAATTTTGAAGTCATATAGACAGAAGCCATCAATGCTTATGGAACATAGTGCAGAGACAGACAAAACCCACAAATTTTCAGTCAGTAGTACAAAGTGATATCAGTACTAGGGAAAAAAAACAACCAAACAAACACCACCCTTGAATGTTTGCTAGGTTTCTAACTTTCCATGCCAGTCACTTGTCACTTTGTTCTTATCAAGGAATAGTGAAGTAAAAGGCAGAATCCTGCAAAGGTCTGAGGCTAAAGACTTTCTCATAAAAGTCAATACAATGCACTATATGTTAGGTGATTTGCTTTTTATTCATTACTACAGACTCCAGGAAATGCTAAAGAGCATCAAAGCCATGGCTGAATAGTACCAGTAATCTCTGATACAGTAACACAAGATGATTTTTATCCTTGGATGCCAAAGTATAGCTCAACCTACCAAACTTCTCCCTTGGTGCAGCAGGACAGGCCTCTGCAGGCGTGCAATGCATTGTTAGAAAGCAACACAAAGGAAACAGCAGACTTCAGTATTTCAAGTTTACTGTATTTTCAAGCTTTAGCAAGAGTTGCTAGAATCAGTGACCAACAGAATAGTCCAAGGTACAACTGTCCCACAGAGGAGTAATCAGAAAGACTTATGTTAAAGACTTAAAGCTATTCCAGACACATTTTAAAGACAATAATGTGACTTTAACCACTCCAGGTACATATACCTGAACCATTCGAATGTGCTCAATATATGAAGTATTTAGAATAGAGAAAATAGGTGTCACTGTCTACAAACATAAAAAGACTGTTGGAAGCACGTTAATTTCTCAAAAGTGAAAAATTACTGAGAAGAGCCTTACTTTCTGCTTGTATTTGTCAAAGAACTATTAGCTATGGAATGCCACTTGCTGGACATTGTCAAAGAGAAGAAGACTCAGAGCAAGGCAGGTTTTGCATATTCTAAGATAACTGGTTGCAGTTATTGGCAATGCACTCCATGAACTAGTCCTAATCATGTCTTTGAATTTAATCAAACTGCAAGCTGGCTTGCTCATCTTACCATCTTCTGCAGTATCTTCAACTTTTTCTTCTAATTCTATTTCATCATCTTCTAACTCCTCTCTCTCGTGTTTTAGTTCTTCCTTTGTAATTGGCTTAGATATCTCAGTTTTTCGGAAGTCAGTATCTTCATCTGTTCTCTACAACAAATTAAAAAGCAATTTACATTTAAACTAAAATGAAGAATTAAACACAACAGCCACTGTAAGCTAAGAAATAACAATGGCACATTAAAAGTGCTTATTGTTGCACAGAAGCTCAGTTTTCAAACTGAGTATTAAGAATCAAACCAAATAAAAACACAGTAAATTTCTCTAACCTTTGCTGGCCAGCAGAACAACACACCTAGACCAACAGGGAGAGCTAAAGTCAAGATGTAAAGAGCCCAGAGCCATGGGTGGTCTTCTGCAGCAGTCATCAGTTGACTAAACATACCAGGCTATATTAAAAACAATTAAAAAATAAAAGATTTTGCATGTACATCCCTCTCGACACTTCAGTAATTTTATAAATTGTACTGCATATATGTTTAACTCTTATGTTACCCAAAGAAAACCTTTCTTTACCTTTGCTTTTTAATGATTAAAACAATACTAGATTTCAATACTAGTAAAGCAACAACTTTACAAACAAATAGCAGGTGCTAAGTGAGAAAGAACAAACCTGGTACTCCGAACATACTAGACTGGCCACTACTCAGTTTTGTAAAGCAACATTTGGCAACCTCACACTTTACACCCAGTCCAGCTACTCTTATTTTTTCCCCCCATGCTGTGCTAACTTGGCCAACAGCTCCCAAAGCATCAAGAACCTCAGAGCAGCAGCCAGCCCCGTGAAGAGTGATGTCTTGCTCCATGTGTACTACCGCATTTTCTCCTTTGACAGCCAATTATTCAGGGATTAAATTGTCCTCCCAGCCCAGTTCTGACTTATGCAGTAGAGGCAGGCAGGCAAGTGCCTGGTCCAGTAAGGACTCTGGAAAGGGTCCATCAGAAAGTAAGGTAGGAAGTTTGAGAGGCACAGTGGAGTGAGGGGAGTAGTCAAGGGACTATTTTTTGCTATTTTGTGTACAGGTATAGATACAAGTCCAGACATAAACCCAAACATTTCAGAAAAGAGCAAGGTTGTGGAAGGAGTTGGTTTTCCTGATTGCAAGGACAGATACGCTGTTGCTACCTGCTCATCCTGTGACAAATTGCAGCTGTCAGGAATTGGCTACCTTCGCCATGACAACTTTCCCACAACTGCAGGCCTGCTCTTGCCACTCCAAGAAAAAATAGGACCGTTTGAAAGAGTAGTCAGTAAAGGCAGCCACTAGAGGGGCTCACCATCCCGTATGTCAGGGCAAGTTCATCCTACAGCATAGGAAAGAGACCTAGAAAAAAACCTCTGACAGCTGGCCAAGCGCAGTCTACAAAGAAAATGTGGATGCACACATAGAAACAGAAGAACAGATGCAGCTCCATAAACATACATGCGCTATTTTCAGAACTGCGTAATATACATATAAGCAGACAAAGGCCTAAAATTATTAAACAGAAGAAACACATTACTATTTATCCATTCCTCACAGGAGGGAAAACATTTAAAGAAGTTATATAATGGAATTAGCCACAGGTGAAAAGAAAAATTAAAAAAAAAAAGTCTGAGTGGGTAATGAATTTCTAGTATCACCATGAACAGCAGAGACTCATTAACCATAACAAAGCCAACTTCTTGCTAGGTGTTGAAGTAAAATGTTGTACCCTTTTAATTTCACGACAGTATTGATCTGGGAAAGATAAAAGGCAAAACTACTAGAAAAAAAACCCTATCATAGTTAATCAACAAGATTATTAATTGCAGACAAATGAATATTCTGGCAGTATTAACTGACAACTTTCTTCCAACAGCACATCTTCCTCACTACCTTTGGCTATCAAGAACACAGAGTAAAGTTTATACCTCATTAGCACTTGCTACTAATTTCTTCACGCCCCAGCCATCTGCTGCCCAACGATCTGCTACTTCTTTTTCTGAACATATAATGAAGTTATCAAAGTAGATTTCAGATGTCATAGACCAGAGTTCTAAACCAATAGCACTGACACTGGTCATCTTGAATGGGTGATGATCTTCAAAATAGTCTGGGTTAGGTATTTTCTGAGGGCTCCAGATTCCCTTTTAAGGAAAAAAAAAAAAAAAAAAAAAAATGTAACCGCTGTAAAAACAAGCTGTGAAACAAAATTAAAAATAATTAGAACTTCCTGACGATTTTAAATGCATTCTTTAAAAAGATAAGCAGAAGAGTGCAACCTACATAAAGACAGAATTAAAAATAGTCTATAGGATTTTGGCAGCTGGGTCTCAATTTTCTGGCTTGGGGCAGACCTCTTAATATTTTATTTTGTTTTTGTGCCTATAGGGTTACAGTTATAACTGACCATACAAAGTATCTGTTCTTCCTGGTCCTAGTGATTCCAAGCACAGCCTTTGTAAACTTCCTAGAGCTTGTCTAGGAAATATATTTCCTAATACTGCTGGAAAATTAGACACTGATATTACTTCTTCCTCTAGTCTCTCCTTGTGCAATATATAATTCTGGCTTTTGTTCATCAAAATAGCATGTATATTTTTCAAAGGGCAGGGTCAGTATTTTCTGGCCAGTGATGGAATCTTCTGAGGTAAGCATCTGTTGTCTGGTAGCCTAAGGCTGCAGGGGAACTACCTCCTGTGATTCACACGGTCCCTTCCAGTACATATAAAACTGACAGCTACAGTAACCAGAAGTGTTAGGGAAAATTTTAGGGAAGGAAAATTCAGCTTTATGCTACCAGCTCAAGTTAGAGCCATTTTTTTTTTTTAAAAAAACGTGCTCAGGATCTTAAGATCAAAGAAATCAGATTCAAGTACTCCCCAGACATAATTAATACAAAGTAACTCTTTTTGATATCCAGCCGATTAGCTCTTACATTTGCAGGGGAGGAGGGGAATTTAATTATCCAAAACGGATGCTTCTACTAAAATTAAACTGGTAAGGTAATCTGTTTACTGAAAGGTCTCATTTCTTTTTTAATAAAAAAAGGGTTAATTTAAAAGACCTACACTTAAAACCCCAGCAAAAGAGAAATATTTCATTAAATAACATAATTCAGAATACAGTTCTATGGAGCATTTTTAATAAAGCGGTACCAGTGCAAATCATTGCAAAAGCAACTTTTAACAGATAAAATGTTTTAATACAGGAAGCATTTCTATTTTCCACTATACTTAAAGAAAAAAAAGGCAAATTAAATACAAAAAAGCTCAAAATGTTTAGCGAAGGTGTTTAGACTCATTCTAAAATATAAATATACTGTAAAAAATCCTAGACAAATGTACTACTTGGACTTGCTTGCTCTGTTCAACTCTGTACCTTTTAACAACAACCTACAATATTGCTATTACCTGATAGTTAGGATTATCTATCATAGGTGCTTTCCATTTTCCTTTATAGTTTGGGTTATTCTTCATGGGGCGCAACCAGTGTCCACACCCAGGTGCAGTCTCACACTTTGGATTAGGGATCTGAGGGGCTTCCCACTCCCCATCCATTTCTTCATCCCTACAGAAAAAAAAATTACAAACTGATTTGAGATTGGACTGCTCTGAACACTAGTAGTCAGTCTGAAGTTAGATTCCACACACATTTTACTGTAACAACCTCAGAATTTTGACCACCTCACAGAACTTTACCCAACAGTATAAACACCTTTTTTTTTTTTTTTTTTCTTTACAGGTCACATATTCATAACTACCATGGCCTGACTGAATGCAATTATATTCCTGCATCTGCAGACAGCTTGAAACACTTTTTCATAAGATGCTTAAGCATCCCTTTGCCACTATGAGATGATAATTTCATGTTATCAACTTAAACTGTTTCATGGTTCAACACTGTAGCAAATTCTTTCAAAGGGATTCTTCATATTCTGTTTTCGTTCATATAGCTTCAGAAAACAAAAGGCAATGGACATGCTCATGTTTTTCTTAAAAGCATCCCCCCCAAACAACAAATACTTTGCTATACCCTACACATTACAACTTACTACCTCAAAAGACAATGAGATTTGGAATGACTTCTGATCCACAACTCATAACTTGTCATAGAGAATAGGTAGGCATATCTATAAGACATGTTAAAAACCTGCACTTACTGAATCAAGTTCTTACCAGTCCTTTGGTTTTTTTGCATTAGGGTCTGGAACATACTGTGGTTCATCATCAAGCCATCCCTCAGGCTTAACAGCATCAGGATCTTCTATTTTGGAAGGTTCATCTTCATCCCTTCAATTACAGACTTAGGTTAGAAAATACAACAGCCTGACTTTCAGCCAATGTTCTGTTCAGAGGACTGTAACTGGTATGAAAGGGATAATTTTCAAAAGCACAACAGAATTAGAAACACTGATCATGAGAATCAGACATCCAATTATCTGCTTATAAATATCTGAATTATGTTTACATTGTCGCAAAATACTACCTAGCCCAGAAACTGCTGCCATGAATTGGCAGGTGTCAGTCAGGTCTTCCCATTAAATTTTTCCCTCCTCTTCCTGAGTTGCTGAATGAATAGTAGTTCACAGAGAAGGAAGTAGAAATCACTGAATATAAATTCAGATTATATGGTGAAAAAAAATCCCTCTTCCTAATCTTTAAGGTACAGTAATACTACTAATTGCAACCATGGAGGGTAGAAAATCAGCAAAAAGCACAATTTTTATTTCTCTCCTCTTACCATATCCTTGTCTCCAGATCCTTGTACCTACCTCAAATATATTTTCAAACTTTAGTGCTTTTAGTAGTGAAACATATCCCAATCGTCATTAGCAAAAAAAACAAAATAAAACCAGTCAAATCCTTCAAATGAATAAACTACAAGTAAAAGGTATTGTACAGATAAAAGCATTCTCCTTACCAGTCATCTGGTTTGACAGCATTTGGATCAGGTATTTTTGGTCTCTCGTCCCAGTCATCAGGCTTCTTATCACTGGGATCCTCTATTTCTTTGGGAGGGTTTACTGGAGGAACCATATCCTCAAGAAGACTTCCTTTACTGACAACTGTTTGGTCGATTAACATTTCAAATGTATCATCTGGTTTTAGTACTAAATTGAAGAAATTTGTATTAAAGAAATAAGGGAAGCATTCATTTTACAAATATCTTTAACCAATACCTATATAATAAGTACAGACTTAGACAAATAGCAGCAAACAGGTTCTTCACTAGCAGAGCAGGAGACAGACTCCCCACTCAGGTACTGGATCTGGACACAAAACATCGAAGGTGCTACTGCAGGGATGACCAGCATCAGGCCCCCCAAAATGAAGCCTCCAGCAAATTGAACTGCTGAAACACATTCAAGCACATTCTAAGAGATTTTTCAAAAACCTACCACATTTATTTATTTAAAAACACTGACAACGAAAGACAAACCTCTGCCCCAAAAGGCATCTCTGACTTCCAAATTAAAATTTCACACCTGATAGTGTGGAAACACAAGAACTGCATCAGTAACACAGCTGAAGAATCATTAAAGCAGTATTTTCTCTCAGATTCAAATCTGTGACAGCCATTTCCCTCAAGTGCCAGACTGCAAATACGGAAAATTATCTTCAAATGTTGTTTAGTAAGAGTAACTGAGAAGCCAGGGTCATAGAACAGAACAGTGTCAGACTCGGTAACAGACCTTGTATCCAGATCCATTTCTAATAATCACTGAGCACATTTATAAGTGCTTAACAAATATATTCAAATGTCCGTTCAACACAACAAAGATTATTCAAGTAAATACTATTTCACTTTTATGACAGCTTTAGAAAGATGGGTGATGAAAACCAGAGTAACAGTCTTATGATTGTTTGATAATATCTAATGAAGCTCTTGCAGCCTAAAAGTTTTCAACAGCATTAAAATATCCATAAATGCAAAAATTAAGCTCCCATTTCACTTAGGATACAATACAAAGAACTGATTTTTGAACTTCTGTTATCAGTCACGTAACGCACTGGAATCACACAGCTCTATGGAGTAACAGAATAAATGTAAACTGAATTTAAGTATCTTCTACCATAATTTCTAATAAACAGCCCATATACAGAACACATGCATTCCTTTACCACAAGAATAGTGTTTTGTTTCACTTATTCATATTATTTAAAAGTGAAAGTTTGCTATGGCACACTACAATAATCCATTTTAAAAAACAGTAAGTTTCCCCATGGCACAGCAGTGGAACATGCCTTCCATTTATTATTTGATGAAAGTTCAAAAGTATAGTCAATTTTGCTGGATTTGCAGTATGCCACATATTAGCCCATTCTTATATGTTTGTTCTTCCTCAGAAATTAGAAAAAGAGGGAGAAAAGAACCAAGAAATTAAACTTCCACCTCTGCTATTCTGTTCATTGGTACAGAAAGAGATGTCACATGAATTAGAACCAGCTCATATTCATTCACCTTCAGAGACTGTGGTAACATATCTGTTCGTGCACACTGCTGCAGATGCAGGCATTGGTGAGAACTCTTAACATGTGGAAGAGAGTGGCATGTGGCACGCTGCAGATTTAACTGCATTTCTGGGAACTCTGACACCTTCCTAGAATATTGGACAGTTGTGTGTTTTTAATATTTCTTAACAAAAATATTTTTAACATAATAAGTACTGAAAGTATTAATCAATTCTTCACACTAAAGGCTGGCCAGGGCTGAATTGTTTTTTCCTGCAAGTGAACATTAAATGGCAGCATTTGAAAGCCACTTCTATGTCCTGCAGTTAAATCCACTCATTAAGTCATTTAAGCCCAAATCGTTAAGCAACCACCCCTCAGAATGAAGAGACTATTACAAACAAAGAAGCAGACCCAAATACAAAGCTTCAGTGGACAGAAACACATTTTTAATCTCTCCTTTCCAATTTAAACTTATAAGAATTAAACAATACCAAGAGTATATAGATGCGTCTTCTTGTCCAAATAGAATTTTTTTAGGTCTACGTCAGGACGTTTTGCATGTTTTTCATCATATTCTCCACTTTTAGGATTCTTATGTCTGAAGATAAAGTGTAGTTTGTAATCTTCTCCACATTTATCTGGTCCAAACATAATAGTATAAGGTGTTTTGTCAAAAAAGTATTCCTGTAGAAGCAAGAAAGCTGAGCATGTATTATACAGTATGTTTTATGAAGTCATTTTGGGTACTTCTTTTCCTTGATGCTGTGGCATAGAGCATAGTTACCTTTTAGAAAAAGGTAACTGAAAATTGGTAGGGTAAACCATGAAATGAATTGAGCAGTCCTCTTAAGTCACTGGGTGCTTTCTGTTCTCAGGGAACAGACTAACCATAGAGATCGCTTAAGCCTCTTCAAGGAAGATGAATGCATTTATTCAGACCTTACCCTTCTGTTAAGTAGAAATGCCTGCCATAAATCAAAACACCCAAATATCTGTATGCTTCTAAAAACATTACACTAAAAGATGGAAGGGAACTAGTTACTGTTCTTCATAACAATTCTATTTTTCAATAAAGATAAAACTCAGGATATTATTATCCAGAATTTTACCAATCTTCTTGTTCCACAATAAATAACAATAATAACAGTAATAAACAACCCTGAAGATACCAGATCTAGTTATTCTTCTTCACAGTATGTTGAATTAAGCTGTTTAGATATGTAGTATTTATAAACTATTTATATGATTTTTGTATTTGGAATATGCAGTAACATGTTGCCTTATATTCTTAACCAACTGTTTGAAGGAAGACAACCACTTGATTTCTGGAAGTTTTCTTCTTGAAAGATATATTCTGACATAAATGTATTGTTTGAAATTAGCCTGTTTTTTTAATTTTTTTTTAATGCAAAGTAAAACATTTTCACTTTATGCACTAGAGAAGTGCATGTATTTTAAGTCCAGTCCCTTTTACAACATTCAACAGTCTTAGGAAAATGCCACTGATAAGAACTAACAATATTCTAATAGCAATAAGCATATATACGCATTGAGACATGTCTAATTTTAAAGTTAAAAAAAAAAAGAAAAAAAGAGAGAATATTGACTCTTAAGTTACTTCACATAGCCAGTGAAATTTCAAAAACAGTACAGGATGAATTGTGAGCCAGGCCAAAAACAGGCAAATTTTGCATTTACTGTCTTCTGGTTTACCTTCCAGTAATACAACATAAGCTGGAGAATTACAGCTTCATGTGTAATTGAGCTGGGTATCTTGGTCTCACACCTTCTTTTAAAATGCAAAATTTTTCAGTTTTACTATCATTTACACATCTTTCCATTAGGAAAGATATCATGCCTCTACTTGTTTTCCTAATCTGTATTTTTAATACTTAACCTTTTACTACTCAAGTTATTTGAGCATAAAACACATATAATTTTAGGAAATTTTAGCACATATATTATTTTAAATAATAATTTTAATATTTTAATAAATATTTTAAATAAATAATAATTTTAGCACAGATTTTAGGAAAAAGGAAAAGCACTAGGAAGTTGCATAAAAGCTTTTACTAATACATCTTAGAAATGCTTACAAGCAACTTCTTATGCATGTCGCCACCTCCTAGACCCTTGCGGAAGTACATACCATCCATTATATTTCATGAAGAGACCACTGTTAAGTGGCTCCTCCTGACTGATGGTTTGCAGGTCAGGTCAAGCAATGTCTTGAGCCTGTCCTGAGCAACCTCCGATCCATTTTGCACATACATACTTCACTGATGCTCTCCTCAGTACTTGAAAGTCAAGGTTATGGACTCATGGGTCAATGCAGCAGCAGTAGGCACAGACGTTTCAGGAACAAAAGCACAGATGAAAAAATCTTACCCAGAGAAGAAATGATGAATGCTGCCCACACTCCTATTACATGATTTTTCCAGATTATTCCCTGTTGTTTTTTCTACAAGCTTGCCTTTTTACCTTACCAAATCTTGGTGAACAAATGGTATAGCCTGATGCATCTCAAACCCAACAACTCCTTTAGCCTATACAGTTTGTTAACTGTGATTGCCTTGCAAACTTTTGTCACTATACTACTGAATGTTGGCTCAACACCACCAATTAGCCACAAACCTGTAGCAGTTAGGGTAGTCAGCTTTTAAATGGCCACAGCAACCTGCTTCAGGACTGGAAGCACCCTTATCCCTTCATGTTTGTACTGCTGAGTCAACCAAAGTTCCTTCTAGTTCATCATGTAACATTCTGAATCCACACCGGGTCATTCCAAATCTGTCCAAATGCACAATCCTACTCTGTAACTGCTGCTGTGTACCAAAAGCAACAGTTCCCACCAAAGCAACTGCAGCAGTGGTTGTATATATCAGCCATCCCTCTGTCAACAAAACATTTGCATTGCACAAGCTCCTGTGCCACAAATTACCACAAGCTCTGAATGTAAAAAAGTTGCTAAAATATTCTCCATCACACACTAGACAGCCTGTATCTAAACCCCAGTGTAGATGCAGAAATATTAAAAGCAGAAACAACCAGGTCACATGTGCCAGAACAGGCAACATTTTAAGCCAGGAATACCTGATTGCACTGGCGTAGTGATAAAGAGATTTACATACAAGTTTGGAAAAGGCAGGCAAATTCTCTTCAATACACTGAGAAACAACCTACAAAATGGTCCAACATACTAAGGCACTTACTTATTTTTCACACCTGATCATTCAGACCTTTTCCTGGGAACAGAGAGTCTCCATCTCTTTCAGTTTCTAAATCCAAGACATGGCTTATTCTAGGATGCCATGTTGTGTGCCATGCAGTAAAAAAATTGTTTCACAACTTACGAGTTGACATTCTGTGGCTTCTATTATTGCAGCAAGTCAGACTAAACAGATACAAAAGTCCTATGTCCTGGTTATAAGACATCACTTGTGCAGAACTAAGAGAAATACGTTAATCACAGCAAACTCTTTATTCTAACCTTCTGAAATTCACACTGATATTTATGTGAATATAGATCTTAATAGCTTGCTTTAAGTTTTAGACTACCTGTAAGTTTTATTAAAATAAATGGAAACTGTAACAGGAATACCATTATCAAATATTCTACCAGTAAAAAAATCCACAATTCCAAAGGCTTTGTGTATATATAATCAATTATATGTATAATAATATTTTGTCCAATCTTCTGCTTAAACATTTAGGAAACTTTAAAGAATTTTGGATGCATTATGAATTAATTTCTTATTGACATTTCACAAGAACAACTATGCATTCCTCAAATGAATAATGGATAGCAAATGTTAAATAAGAGGACATACCAGATTCAAGTCATCACTACTGGAGAGAAGTTTAATATATGCACCACCACAGTCAATGCCTTCTTGAAAATTCACTTCATACCTGGGCAAAGAGCAAGTTAAAAAAAACATTCCAAGTATCAGACAAATCAACTTCTAATGATGAATACATTAAGTCTGTGTATTAGTCACTACTGTGAAAACACTCCTACATGACCAAAAGGTTTTAATTGCCACACAAACTAACACAGCAGTGATGTCAGTCAAAAACACCGCAGTAGCAATTGCTACAGTTGGTATCATCAGTAAGAAAAGTTTCAAGGTGGTATCAACCAACAAGCAAGGGTCAAAGCAAAGCAGAGATGGGCAAATGTTCTACACAGTTTGTGCCACCTTTGCAACTTGCCCGTATGATGCACTGAATTTAACCAGAGGAGTTATCTGGATATGTCTGTAAATACAACAAAGCAAGTCCGACCATCAGAAAAAAAGTCATCTTGCCATGGTGCTCATCATCACTAATATTGCTATAGTGTGTCCAAGATTCAAGCTGCTTTTACAGAGCTACAGAGAAGAATTCTGTAAGTGGAAAAACACTGTGCACAAACTACATATGATTTAGATCTTTTAGAGAAGGACTGAAAATTAATAGGTTTTTTTGCAATCTTGTATAATATTAGATTTCTGTCCAAAAATATTTCAAAAGAGTTTAAATACCACTTATTAACACCTGTACTACAATCTTACTTGACTATTAGATCATTGATACTTACAGTTCTGATAGCTCTGAGTATGATAGATAAATGTTATATAAAGTCAGTATTTCTACAGCAATTCACATTAGTTTCTTGACTTAAAGATTTCAATAATAATAAATATTAAGTAAAAAATCTGAGGGATTACTTACTGAACAATCAAAGGTTTATTATCAAAAATAAATGCTTCTGTTAGCATAGCTGATATTGCATGATGCTTTGCCACTGATTTTAACACTAATCCTCTGTCTCCAGGCACTGTGTTTTCTTTCAGCTCTTCTACTTCCCATCTTCCTGAAACACACACACGCAAGTCTTTGAAAAAAATGTAGGCTGACGGAATCATAGACTTATTGAAAGCAAAGAGTAACAGTAAGTAAAGACTAGTTGCCAAAGTAGGGAAGAAATCTTTAAATCTGATGTCAAAGAATTTAAATAATAATCACCCAATTCATTACCAGTAATTCTACCATAGATATAAAACATTACCAAGTCCAGTTTACACTTCCTCAAACTAATTCTCTACAGCACTCAAATACAAAAAAAAAATAATTCACGGTACACAGATTTGCTGCTTACATCTTTCTATCAAATCAGTGACAGAATTTTTTAACAAGCACTCTTCAAGAATTAGAAATCACTAGAATTCCAGCTCCACAGTTAGATGATAAAACAAAAACTGTGACATGTCAAAGATCCCTCTAACCCAATGCTCTGGCTCAGACAGGAATGAGGAAAGAAAGCTTAGGGAAAATGAGTGCAAGCAGTTGTAAAGAGAAGTGACAAGCTTTTTCTTTTTTCTTTCCCCAAGTAGCTCTTTCTGCAACAGTAAAAATCCCAGTCTCAGAACTGTTATAGCCAAAAAATAAAATTATCAAAACCTCAGTTTTTGTGTAAAACAGAATTTTCCAACTAAAAAAAGAACACAGCCACAGACTCCAAAGTAGCAAAGAAACACATCCTTACCATAATCCACCATAAAACAATTAAATTGAATAGAAAACCATACACATTTAACATAAAATGGTCTTACATCACCAAATTTAGTTAAGTTTATTGCAGAAACCTGTAGTGTGTGTGAATATCCACTGGATTTCTGTTTAGTTGCGATATTGTATGAAAGAGTCAATACGTTTTAGATATGTCATTTTATTTAAGACTAATGCTTGCATCACTAATGTAGAGACTGCTTCAAAGCTCTTGTTCATATTTAATGAGTTTTATTGTAAAAATCTATTTCATCAGCCTTAAGACATTGGCAGATAATTAAAAAAGGTGCCTACACCTTGGGTATGCACAGCTCTACACAGAAAAGCCCACTCTCCTATTTCACCAAAAAGGTATTAGTCCTAGCCAATTAAGATAAGGCTACCTTGCAGTATTTTAAAAATGACACTGCTAAACAGGAAGGAGGAAAATTCCCTCCTCTTCAATAGTGTTCCTTCCTGGAAACTAACACCAAGCAATAATGCCAGGCAAAACAGCAAACCAAACCAAGCAAACAAAAGAACAAAACAAAAACAACAACAAAACAAAAAAAACACAAACAAACAAAAAACCCAACCCAAAACCCCCAGATTGGAAAGTAGTTCAAAAAAGTCTGTTCACCACAGACTTTGTTAATGTTGAATTTTTTGGGTGACTTTAAGCAAATATGACTTAAGATATGAGAGACAATTTCTATCTAATATGAGGCCAAGTAGTCAGAGACGTCAGTTCTGATAAGCATCTCATCTGTATGGATATCTCCTTTGCAACTTCTTTATTTTTACCAGGTGTTTCTGGTAACTGTTAAACCTAAAAACATTTGTTCTGTACTGTTTTGCACACTAATGTCATACAAGTTATGCTTGCTTACCACTTTATATTAACATTCATTGATTTCATTTGACAGAGTAGTAGAAAATACTTTCCTTTTGCAGCAGAAACTTTTTTTCTCCTCCACTTTCTCTTGAATGAAAAATTCAGGTTGCAAAATTACTGCCACAGATCACACATTTGTCAAACAGTTTAAAATTATATTCAAGTAGGCAATTCTTGCCTAGGAATTTGTAAGTCAAGTGCAAACCCCAATGATAAGAACCATCAAAACAACTTTTTCATTATTACTTTCCAAATTGTTTTTTGACTACTGTAAGAATAAACTGTACAAGAACCACTGGAGAACCCTACATCCAAGCACAGACAATCTGAAAAAGTATTTTATAGAAAAACATCATTCAGATTCACTTTTTTGTTTCAGAAGCTAGACTGGGAGACCAACCCATGAATCAGTTGGACAGATGCAGCAACATGGAACATGCTGCTTTAGAAATTCATTTAACAACTGATATTGAAGTGGTCAATCTCTCTGACACAATTTCAGAGAACGTAGTTCTCAAGAAGCACTATTCATAAACAATCAAAACTGAATAGTCAAATGTCAGAAAGTATTCTAGTGTCATTGCAATAGATTGTTGGGATCACAAAAAAAAAATTATCCGCATGCTAAGTAACCCAACGGGCGACATTTCACATTTCAGTTTCAAGATAACAGTCATTATATAAGCTAACACTTTTGACCTAAGTAATCTAGGTTTTCGAAGCTAAGCTCAGTGTAAGGGGTAGTTACTTCTCAAAGAGTAAGAACATCATAAACTATACAGTGGAAGTAAACATTAAAACCACATACCATCATATTTAGCAATGTTATCATCCATGTCTTCTTTCTTGGTCTTAGACAACACCCACCTAAAACAAAAAACTGTGCTAGTCATTGAACCACCTATGCAAAGCTGTATTACTTATCAAGCCCAGGAAAACAAGCTCTCGCATCTAGGCTGTGAACATGTGATAATGATTTTGACAGTCAGCATCACGGAACTTTGTGTAGTTCAAAGAACATGAACAGAAAAATTAAAATAGGTTAGTCTAATATAGCATTTCAAAATACTTTCTAAGAACATAAATGATTATACAATTATAATTTGAAAGTAATTTGAATATTCTGAATAAACTTCAGGTTTATATACAAGCTGAGTTTGGCAAAATGTTAGAATATTACACAATCATATAATAACAGATATACACATAAAATAGCAAGGTTTGAGTGTAAAACTTTCAATATGGCAAAGAAAAAAACAAAACACCCTAGGAATCCTTAACACCAACTGACTGTACACATGCATAGCAGAGGACAAAAGGAAGAGGGACAAGTGTCCAAATGACAAATGCAATTATGCACTGAACAGATTCCAAACATGTTGCAAATAGGGAATCCCAACAAAGTAAGCTCACTCCTGATCTCCTTGATATTATGAACAAGGAAAACTCATTTTATCCAGTTGATTTTACCAAAAAGATATGCACATACCCTACACACAAAGTGTTCATTTGGAAAAAAAAAAAAAAATAGAAAAAAGGGCAGTCCACCCTCATCTGGTCATACAGTGGTTCTATCCTGAGCCATGCACAGGAATATCTTAAGCCAACAGTGCCACTGAACTCTTCATTGCATCAACTAAAGCACTACATTCTCATGATTAATTCTGTAAAGAACTATCTTCATTCATTCTGAACTATCCTCTGCATGGAGAGTTTCAGGGATGAATACTTTATCTTTTCTGATTGAATTTCAGTCAGATTTATTCACTGTTAACAGAGATGCTGGAAAAGCTTCACAGTGTAAATGGCAAACTAAAACATCTGTACAAGTCATGCAGATTTTCAAGACCCATTCTCAAAAAAGCTACTCTACCCTAGTGATTTACACAGTCAATTTATACGTACTCTTTTCCCCGGTTTTAGGGAAGGCAACATGCTGCTTACTTTCTCATACATCTTAGTTCCATACTTGTTACTCTTATGTAAATTATGTACAGCTAGACCAAAAAAATTCCAAGTATTGTAGCTAAAGCTCTGAATATTAGATTTAGTAGGAAGACAAACTAATCTTTGAATAGATCTCATGAAGCTAAAAATTGGGATGAATTATACCATTCAACTATCCTAGTTAAGTTTTTGCATTTGGTAGTCAAGTTTTTCAGTTGTTTGGTTTTTTGTTGGTTCGTTGTTTTTTTTAACAAACATTTTCACTTCTATTTAATCATTTTTCCTGTCATCATTGGTACTGCTTTTGTATTGCACTTCTTAACATTCAGAAGTGACATATCATTAAGACAAGTGATACACTGAAGACAGGAACTCAGTAACTTATTTTCCTTCTACATTTGGTCTAAATATGCAACAAAAGAAAATATGAAAGAACAAAATGCGAGCAATGACAGACTAACGTCCAGTGGCCTGAAGTTCCCTGTAACTCTACAGAAGAGAACAGTTTAGAAACAATTGGAAAAAGAGAGTAAGATTCACTCTTACAGAAGTTACTGGTGCCTGCTACCACGTTATTTTGTTTACAGTTTAAATAATGCATCCTCAACAGACACACATCTTATGATGGTATAACCTCACTCCTACAGTAGTTGGATCTCAGTCTTCTCACAGGATGTAAAAAAATACGCAGCTTTAACTTCTACCATAGCAAATATATCCTATTGCATCTTCTTCCACCTGGCTCTTCACAGGACAGAGTTTTTGTTCCATCAATTTTAGTAACATATGAAAACACCTTATTTCATGATTCTTCACAAATTAGAAGATAGCTCTTTTGTTCCACTGCATCAAAGTGTACAGGAAAAAAAAAACCCAACAATAACAAAGACCTGATTTGTCATTAAAAACCAGACACTCTGACATTTTAAAAGCTTTTCTCATAGTAAGAAAGTACTCTTAAAAATTCATCACACCAGCTCTTACTAAAGAGATTTCTTCTGCATTCACACACTCTGCCTGGATGCACACTTACTTAACTTGAGCCTGCGACTGTATGCTAACCTGGTTTGATTCAAAAAAGAAAAGTCAGTGATCATACAGACATGTTTACATGATAGGCATTTCTTTTTCCTTGATATTGTACACCCTTTACATCTGAGCTAGAAAGAAGACTGAAAGCCAAGTTGTTTTCCAACTAGAAGTCTATTCCAGAAATAGAAAGTAATACATTATATTCACTCTTATTGACAGTGCATTGGTGGTAACTGACTATAGCTCACAATGCACAGCTTTTCACTGAGCAACACAAGTCACCCAGTAACAGTTATGCCTTACATTGCCATACTGCTGGAAGAAAACTTCTAAGATACAGACAAGACAAAATTTTATGGCCTAAGAATTGTTGAGATAAACCTGAAGAATTTTCTAATATTTCAATGCAATAAGACCAAACTACCTAGGAAGACTTCACTAGTTTCACAAACATCTAATTCTTACTGAGTACTGGAAGCAATACAAGAAATTAATAAAATATCTGCTAAAAAAACCTCTTCCCCAACAGAGGTTTTATCTATAGTGCTGAACGCGCTGCCTTCTCACACACACCTAAGTGCATGTAAAGAGGAAGAATTTGCTACTGCAGTGTAATGACTATGCGCTTCAGCTTGCAGCTAGCTAGTTCTTTAGATTATACTATTTTTCTTAATATTTGTTAACCCAGAATTTATTAAAAGCTTCCTTAAAACACAAAAATAGCAACACACCTGAAATGTTAACTGTCCAACTTAACATTATGATGCATTTGGAGCAAACATTACCAGCCTTCCCAATTCTAACTCCTGTAAAAATTAATTTTTATAAAGATACTAGCATAAAAATAAATACAAAATAAGTCCTGCCACTAGACGTTAAACAGCTGCAAGTAAAAATTTATAATTTTAAGACAAACTTACCCAGCCAATACTCCATCAAAGGTTTCTGTAAAATACACTTCCCCCGTCGGCTTTGGAGTCTGATACACAACCTAGAAGACATGTACAGATACACACCCAAACATAAATTACAATTTTTCATTTGGAATACACACTATCATATCTCCAGAAGTAGTCCACCCAGACAGACCACCAGATTTTGTTCATTAGAAACATCTTGCAACATAAAACACCATTCCCTGCTCTCCCCCTGCCATTTCTACAGTTTGGGCGTATCCCTTTAACAGTGAACAGTTTCACATCTGTGAATTTTAAAAATCGCTTCCTGTGTTCAAAGCTCATAACTTAAGTATTGTTATACATCTTATGTATAACAAAAACCCAGAATACATACTGATTCTCTGCTTCCTCCCTATTTCTCTCTGTACATGTTTGCCATTCTTCTGTTTGCCTATCTACCTGGCACATTACAGTCGGGCTACAGAGTAAAAAGTTGAAAAAATAATTTATTGTCTACATCTATTATGAAATGCAGCACAACAAATGCAGAAAGATTTTCTGTAAATAAAGATGGTGTTAAAAGGCAGCTGTGACTAATGAAATCAGTCTAAAGTCTAAAGTCAAAATCTCAGCAAGACCAAGATGCTTTCTTCTCTAGAAATGGCATGTTAGGACTTACAGCAAAAGGTTCTGTATCTCAGTTGAAGCACAGATGAGCAAAAACTTCTTAATGACTATCTAACACAGGCAGGAGATCTGATTTTACACTTTGGCATAGTGGAAGCATTCATTAAGCTTGTTTTATGTCTCACATACAGCAACTGAAATACTCAGACTGGTGGGTTTGACACCCATTCAGTAGTCAACTGCATGTTAACTTACTCTTTTCTGAAATACATTTGTTCACAAATTTCTCTACTAGTTATGACTACATATCTTAGAATTAAATAAGCTTTAACTAAAGACTCCTGTAAGCTTACCCCTAAGGAAGATTCATCTCTGTCCACATCAGCTTCTTGAGACTGCTTTTCAAAATCTTCCACTTCAACATCTGCATCCAGAGTTTCTTCATTTTCAGTTTCTGCAGCCACTGAGCTAATCATCAGGACACCCAAGCACAGCCAGTCCCACTGGAAGTGCATCCTGGCTACCTTAAGAACTGAAAGTATTAAATTTTAAATATCATTGCAAGGATATTATCAATACTACTTCAATTTTACCCCAGACTTTCTCTACAACAGAAAAAACAAATTAAAATAATGTATCAAGACCATAAAAGTATTGTCACTATAGTATTTTAGTAAAGTGCTGTATCTTAATTTGAAAATTTCTTACTACAGAGCCCTGACTCAGACTCTTTTTCTGTTCCTGTTGTCCCTGTGGAAGTGCTTGCAGACTGTTCCCCTATCTTGCCAGGCCACAAATCTAGCAAGAATTTGACTGCAGTATATACACATTTCCATGAGTTGACACAGGCAGGACACAGGAACAACTGCAAACCCACAGGTTAAATGCAAAGAGTAAATTTATTCTCATTACCTCACGACCCAGGGGATCTCCACCACAGCACCCGGGCAGAGGTGCACACGCCGGGACGCAGGCACCACAGAGCTCGGTCCTTGCTGGCTAGGAAGAGAAGAAAGAAAAGGTTTCGAACCCGCTGCTTTCACCTGTATATATCAGGGATTTTCACAGGCGTAGTTTTGCACTGTGCTTTGATCTTTCCCACAGCAGGGCAGGAATCTCAAGGATGCTTGACAAGGTGCCTCTGAGTCTCTCACAGGCATATGTTATCTAAACACAGACATTCTACCCACGAAGCACAAAAAGCTAAACAACAATTAGTATGATACATGTGTTTTTTCGACACACCAGCTGCAAGTCACTTGAGCATGTTTACAGTCCTCCTCACCAATCTTCCGTTGTATTCCCATAGTGTTTTTAAGAAGACTGCTCTCATTTTTCTCATTCCTTAACGATCTGCACAAGTAATAAAAGTGAATCAGTCTCTACAGTGTAGCAAAAAGTAACATCCCTTTCATTAGGGAAAAGACAGTTGATAAGTTTAGGACATATTATCCACTACCAGAATTACTCATTTGTATTTGGCTTTTCTTCCACTGTCTACACTTAGATGAGTGCAGAGTTTATATCATCTGTAAGTGTCAAAAGAAAGTACGAGACTGATTCTGAAAACATTTGCTGTTTCAAAATTATCCAGTCAGCACAAAAGTTTAAGCTTAAATGCAAATATCTGTGTAAGTATTAATGTCAATAGCTGGTAACTACCCCAGCCTCTCAATCTAACCTGCTGTGAAAATGAAAAGATTGTTGCCCAGTATCTTTTGCCTCACATCTGTAACATATACAAATCCAGTTTTATATTAGAGTACCCAGCGGTTTGGAGCAGTGTAATATCAAGCACATGCTTATGCAAGTTTCCTCAGTGGTCTTGCCAAAAATGCTTTTGGCTGAATTTGGAAACATAAGAAAGGCAGATTCTAGGTACTGCTGCACAGGTGTTCATCCTTTGGTTCTTATTAATTTCTACCCATAGCAAGTTTAAAAATAAAGACAAATATTTAGTTTGCCATTGTAAGACATTTCCAAACCTTGCATTACTTTTGGCTGCTACTAATCATACTAAATATTCTGCTACTGAGGTGCTTTCTGTGTCTGAGAAAGCAGTCATCCTTAGTCAGATCATCACTCTGCAGAGATTAAATTGCTTACCACTACAACCCTAAATATCTCAGCAATCCAACATACCACCTTATACTGGAACTGTGAGTCTGTCTCTTTCTTCCTGGCTTTATCAGATTTGCTAAGCAATTCAGACATTATAATTCCACCAATAATTATTCAATTTATAACACCGGCAAGTTATATCAAGTAACACATACAGAGATCAAACATTATCAGGGCTATTAAAACCCCACATCCCAGTATGACTGTACTACAAGTGTCCAAAAAGAAAACTAATTTTTTTTTCCTTATTCATTTTAAGATCTATTAATTTAATATTGATTACACTGATTATATTTAGAGACGTGAACCAGAATTAGAATAAATAAGTGTTTCACACACTAGTACTATGTCAAGATTAGGAAATCATCAAAAGCCTCCCTTCTGGGAACAAACACATTTTCCCACAAAACTACACTCATTATGTTACCATTCTTTTTTTCTCCCCCACTATTACCCACAACCCATGCCATTCTTTGCAGGACTTTTCGCGTTGCTGTGCATTTTGCTTGAGGATGGCAAGTCTGTGGTTCCCTCCTTTCTCAGTTATTAACACAATGATACATGTCAAAAGTTTTTTGCAAATTTTACTATTTTTTTCTTTTTTTAATTTTAGTTAAAAATCTACAGATATTGTTAATTCATAGACTTTCTTGGCCAATTGTAGAACTTCAAACAACATTGCCTTGAAGATTTAGTAATTCAGTTTACCTTATGTGAACATTCAATCTTATGATATACTTTTGAACACCTTCGTCTGGAGGCTATCACACTTAGTTTTACCCCATTGTTAAAAGTTCCTCAGCAGAACAAAATAAATCATCCCAGTTTATGGCACTTACACATGCACAAAACACGTTTACCAGCAATCTTGGCCTAAATGCCAAAGATCAGTGACATCCAAAACACCTTTTGGGGAGCTACATCAAATAGGTAACTGCAAAACCATACATCTTGAGAGTCACTTCAATTAGGAACCTGATATAGCTATAGTACGACTCATGAGAGAACTGGATAGCTGTTCTTCAGTTTGAAAAGCTGCAATCAGAGAAGTTGAGTCACAGAAATCTGTCCAATAATAATTACACCTGCAAAACGGGATTCTCAGTTGTTCCTTTTGGGATGGGCTGCCTACATTCAGCTTTCTCTAGATAAGCACACTGACAATTCTGTTATATACGTCTATGTAATTTCAGACCTGTAATTTTAACCAAATTTTGCATAGCTTGGTCACTCTTTACCATGGGAACATTGGTAACTACAGCACATCTACGCATCAGAAGAGACATCTGAGCAGCAGTACTGTTGTAAAGTATGCTCTTGGGACCAGCAGCAGTGCTGCAACATCAACATAATATTGCACCTAAGGTAACAAGCCACTGTTTCCGAGACACTAGTATTTAGGAAAGACAACAGGCATAAACTCAATGAATATTCTGACTGGATATTATAATTTTTTTCCCCTCATGAGGGCAGGCAAGCAGCTGTACAGGCTGCCTAGTGTCAGTCCTTGGGGTTTGACACACGACCAATTGCATAAAGCTCTGACCAACCTGAACTGGCCTCGGAACTGACCCTGCCATGAGGTCCCTTCCCACCCAAATAATTGGTTTTCTACACATGGTTTCTCAGGGCAAGTATGTCAATCTTCAGACCTCTGTACCACAGTCTTTTGCATACTTTACACGTGACATTAAATGAATAGCATTGTTATTCCATTTGATGTAGAACTAAATAGAGGTCAAGATCGTTTAGATTATTACTAACTTCTCCTTGGACTTTGAAGAGGGTCATGCCTTTTTCATGAAACTCTGAGTTCCACATTCTCAAGCAGAAAAGGAGCAAGACTGATAGTAACAGCCTTTCTCACTGAGGTCTAAAGCTCCTGCCTCTGGTACCACCAACACACAGGCTTTTACCAATTCCAAATACCAATTCCAGCCAGGACAACAGTAAGCGGGGCTCCCCCCTCACCCCCCACATTGTTCCACCCATAAGGATGTGGTAGCTGTATTGGCATCAACCTGACCTAAGACACATCCAGCTGAAACTGCTACCTGAAAAGCACCCAGGATTTTTTATACCGCTTTTTTATTGTGTGAACATTGCACTTTCCTATATTTCGCTGAAGCGTTAAAAACACTGTACTGAAATGAACGTCAAATGTGTAATTTCACAGTTACTCAAGCCGCAATGCTGTGCCCATGCAGGTGCCCTTTCAAGCTACTCTGCTGCTACAGTCAGCTTGACTAAAACCTCCAGGAAGAGGCTGGTTTTCAATTTAGAAGCAAAAAAAAAAAAAAAAAAAAGAAGAGCTGGGAGTCAACCAGCCACCCGGCATTCAGGCAGTGCACAGAAACGAACCCGCTTCCCACATTTTTACACAGAGACGGCTTTCGGGAAGACAACGAAGGGAGGGCGGCTGCCGGCTCCCCTCACGGCACCGAAACACCCCCCACACACACCCCTCACCGCCCGGGTGAGCCGACACGCATCCTCCCGCCGCCGCCGCCAATGCCCACCCACCTGCCCACCCACCCCCCCAGAGACATCAAACACCGCAAGGCAAAGAACACCCGCGGGCAGCAGTAGCAAACCGAGCTCGGCTCGGCCTGTCCCCTGCCCGCGGCGAGCAGATTTACCGGCGGGGATCTCCCGGCCGCCGCTCCCGGTGCCTCAACGGCCGCGCATGCGCGCCGCCGCCACCCGCGGGCTCCAAGCGGCAGGTGCCGCTGCTCCGCCCAAGCCAATCAGAACGCGTCAGGCGAAACCCCGCCCTCACCGGCGCGCCAACCGCCACCGCGGCGGGCAAGGTCGCCGGCGCCAACCCAGGGCCCTCCTCCGTGCGGCGGGAGCCAATCGCGGCTCGGCCCGCGGCTCGGCCCCAGCCAATCAGCCGGCGGCCCCTGCCCGGGCTGCTGCCCGGCTTCGCCGCGGCGACGCCATTCCGCGGCCCGGCGCGGGGGGGTTCTGCTGGCCCCCTCACCGAATCTGCCTCCACCGCGCCTTGAGGAAGAGTTGCTGTGGGGAAAAAACGGCAGATTTAGCAACGTGGGGATTTGGCGCGTGTTCACGCGTGCTCTGCCGTGGAGTTTAGACTTTGCCGTCACGGCCAGCGGGACCCCACGTTTACGCACAGTTGTGCACCTGTGGTCAGCGGTCAGGGCCTTTCCTCCATTTTACAGTCTACATACTTTAATCTCTCCAATCTACATTGGAGGGATTGCTGAGTGGAGCAGCTGTGGCGTTCATTCCCAAGTGGATTTTTGAAAGCCCGGCCCCAGCCTCCTGCACACAGCAGCAGATGCGGGGTTGCCACCCTGAGGAGTCTCCCGCCTCCGTGCAAACTGTATCTCTGCGCTTCGCAGCAGCGTACAATGTATGAGCATTTCAAACGTTACCCAGGGCACCGATAATTCGAAACGCACGGGAGGGGGCCGAGACAAAAACGATTCTTTGAGGGATCAGGAGAAATGTGGAAGCTGTGCCAGCTGCTGACAGACGAGGTCTGGGTTTGGTATGTTTGCCTGTGGCACTGCATCACTTGACAGTTCACATCATCGAAGCCTGGTTGATGCTATTTGACTCTTACTGTGTTGAGGAAGCTGTCTTTTGGATGTAACAGTTACAACCTACACACCATTAAGCTAAGTTTCCCCCCCTCCTAAAATAATTTATAACTTCAGATGGATTTTATAGATTTCTCCATTTGGTTAATGTCTACCACAAACTACTTTGTTGACTCAAAACTGTTTGCAGTTGCCATTAGAATGTGTAACATGAATTGTAAATCCAAAATTTTTTTTTGGTGATATTCTGCCTTTCAGGTATTATAAAGTCATTATAAACTAAAGCACAACCTTTAATTTTTTTTTTTTCTCCTTTGATAGTGTCATCAAAATTTAAGATTGCCATAGATTATTGCAATTACAGGCTTCAAAGAGCAATGTAAACTTCACAACAAACTCAGTGCATACTTATGCCATAGAAAAGCAGCACAATTTCTTCTCTTGTTAAGGCTCTAATGTCTAAAGATTGAAGTTTCTGGAGGACTATGGTACCGTTTCTCAATCATATGATTCTATGATTCTAATGCTGATCAGAAAGGCCCGTTATGCCTTAATTCAAATCCTTATTTAATGTACTTTTGAGAAATGGTACCGCAGTCCAGCAGAAACTTCCATTTTAGACATATCTAGCTAAAAAAAAAATAAGGAATGTTCTTGAGCAATCGAGCATGAAACAGACAGATGAAAACTGTCCTTGCAGCTTTAAATACAAATACATCCTTTTAGAAGCAGTTGCAGAGTTAAAGATTTCTGCTTACTGCAGAATTGTTAATACTTCTACTGTTCATTGTAAGGCATCTATGAAAGATTTATCTTGAATCACATTTATGCAAAGAAATAATAGCTTAAACAAAAAAGAAAAACAAACAAACAAACACTCTCAGACAAGACAATTAGTTTGTGCAACCAGTAATACAGCTAACAAATGTGTGACTTAGGAGTAATAGAAAAATGTTGGGGAAAATTGGGATCCTTGTGTGTGGGGCACTATCCACTTCTTCAAACATGTGAAAGATGTGACAAACAAGCCCACGTATATATAAAAGAAGTTTTACTGGGGACAAAGTCAGTGGAGCAAAGAATACAGCGCCGGGCACAATGGCGCGCGCTGCCCCAGCAGGGGCCTCTTTTTATAGTTCCAGTCCTCCCTTCTGTACCTGCGCAGTTGCTTCTTCTTGGTTTCTTCCAGGCTGTCTCTCCCTGCACTCTTCCACTGCTTCACTACTGCTTACCACAAAACAGACAGCTGCTGAGCGGCGGGGGAGGCAACCGCAATGTTACATGTAACTTTCAGTTTAAACATGAAATCAAAGAACAATGCAACACAGCCAAGCCAGGCAACAAGTCCACGTGCTTTCCTTCCCGCTCCTTCCTCCCCTGCATCTACAGGTGGTCTCGGTGGTCTTGTGGGGGGGGGTTGGTGGCAGATTGAAGTCCAGGTTCCTCTTCATCAGGAGCTCTTAACGCTTTTTCTGTTGGCTTCCATTCCTCTTTACATGATGCCTAACCACAGACCACCACCCCCATCCTTTTGCTTGCCCAGCTCCACACAATGCCCAACCGTATGCTTAATTTGTGATCAAAAAAGGCTTGCTTAACTGTTACAATTTTAACAACACTGATTTTTAATAATAGCTTTAGCCTAACTCAATAAAAGTAATTGTTTAATTACTTTTAGTGAAAGCAAAATTCTTCTGTTATTTATCACAAAGAGAAGATTTTCAGTTCAATGAGCAAATACATCTTCAACTTTGGATTAAATATCTCCTAATTAATTTTAATAGATGCTCCTATTAAGAGTCTAGGCTCTTCGCAGTGTACATTTAGCATCCATTAGCATTTACAATACATGTGTGCTTGTATTAAGCTGTGCAGAAGGTCATGGTGACACTGACTAGATTAGAGGCCCATGTAATTAATGGAAATAAAAACATTTTTAAAAATGGGTAAAGCCAAGTTCATAACTGCCTTTTGTATCGAAGACGAATACATTTCCTTTTCAAAAGTCCCTGAAAGGATTTAAGACAAGAGTGGAGACACACCATTCAGAGAAATTAATAACCGTGCTCTGGTGAAAATCAAAGTGGGTTGAATAACCCATATTGAACTAGCTTGAAAAATGTGCTTTCTTCCCACACAGGCATTTAACCTGATTAGGTACATGTACAGTGAGCATGAGGTAGTCAATATTTTTGAGACTCTGTTTTAAACCACATTAAAGTACTGATGTAAAATTTCCCAGTGAAGGAGCTTGGTGATCTGGTATGGAATCTGAAACTCCTTTCATAGATGTTTTTTGACTTGTGCTTACTGCCTTTGTTTTTCTGAGTTACAGTGGCAGTGCCTATACTGCAAACACCAATCCCCCATAAAGTTCGAGGACGTTCCTTGCCCCCTTGATCCGTTACCTGAGCTGAAGCTGCTCACGAGGAGGTCTCTGTGGCCTCGGAGCCGTGGAGCGCGAAGGCGCGTGCAGGTTCAGGGCACAGGATTATGAAATGGAAAACCACAGGTAGGAACTTGCTCGCAGGGTGGAAAGCAAGCTGCACGTGTTCGGTAACCGCGCCTTGCCCACCACAAACCCAGCCAGTTCACTCGCCAGTGATGGCTGTTGCTACTAACATGCAAAAGTAACTAAGTGTACTTCCATTACACTCCCTTGTCTTAAACTTCCTCAGGTTGTAACGCTCACTATTTCACTATCACTTCTGCAGTGAAGATCCTGAGTTTCTCTCATGACATTCCTTTGGTTTTATAGCGAAGCTGTGATTCTGCAGACTCTGCAAGAAACCTCTGCGCTCCACAAAGCACAGGGAAGAATCAGGACTCAGCAAAGTTTTACTTTTACAGTGCATATGCAAGCATTCATTATTTGCCATGTTAACATTTACATCATTTACATCGAAGTGATGGGAAGTGTATTCTGTGATTGCAGTGGATATGTAAAATATGTAAAAATAGAAACAGAACAAATGAAGCACAAGGCTGGCAGTGCAGAATGCAAAAATTGTATTTACAAAAGGTCCACTCACTTCCTAATGTAATTTCAGGTATTGTGATGAGTTTTGGAAATTATGTGTCAACAGTTACAGGGAAATCTCATTTTATTGTGAAAATAAGAGGTTATGGTAACAAAGTCTATTACTTTAGTGTTTTCCATGTTTTCACTGATTAATAATTGTTCTGAAATTTCTTCCTGTACAGTGACAGTTCCCTCTAACAAGTGACTGTAAGGCAGCCTGAATGCAGACACTACTCCCAGCTTGTGACTGTTGCAGTGAAAGCAATGGCAAAAGATCTTATGTTTTCACTAGATCATGCACTTAATTCATATTCTCAAGAAATGCTCTTTCTGCTTTGATTTCTACTTCTTTCATCTTTTGATGGCATGTAAAACAGGCCGTGTAAGAGAGCAATTTAGACTACAGAGTTATAGTACATTTACAAGAACTTGCCATTCTGATGCGTTTGACAAGATCCTGAAGATGAAGAAAATGCCCATGATACGATGCAATTTCAGTGAGAGTAGTGAAAGCTGTGATATGTTAAGAAGTGAACTAGGGTGTCAGGAGAAGGCCTACGCTTTAACAGTTTTCATACCCATACACGTTTCTAAAGCTCTGCAAGAAAAAACCCAAGTCTTCTTGTAGGTTATCTGTTGACTTGCCTTTTTGGGTAGAGGGCCCTATTCACTTCAGTTTGTTTTTCCCCAGAGGTGCTAAAAGCACTTCAGGTTAAGAGAGAGAATGACTTCAGAGAACTCAGTTTTGTCTTCCCTTAATGTAATCTAAGTTGTGTTTTATTCCCTAGTACAAGTTTTTGTGACTAAATGTCTCAGACTCCCGGATCATCAGAGAAAAAGATGATCTGAAGGGCGATTCTGAGCAGGGGGAGGGGGCGGCAGCTCTGCCCTTCTCGTGCCAGGTAGTTCAATGCAGAGCCAATTTATGTCACTTCTTTCTGTAGCTGCAGTTTTAGCCACTGCTTTTTGACAATCCACTGGTCTCAGTTTCACTCAAACCTTCTTTTTATTGTCAGTGCTGATGGATAAAGGTGTCCCTCTGTGTATCTAAGTGCTCTGGATTACTCCATTAATTCTTAACCTGCATTAAACTCAACCTAATGAAGGCTGCAATATTTGG